TTGTGCACTGTTGGCGGGAATGTAAATTGGTATAGCCACTGTGGAAAACGGTATGAGGGTTTCTCACAAAACTAAAAATAGAACTACCATATGATCCAGCAATTCCATTGCAGGGTATATATTCAAATAAAATGAAAACAAATACTGTATGCTAACACATATATATGGAATCTAAAAAAAAATTGGTTATGAAGAACCTAGGGGCAGGACAGGAATAAAGATGCAGACGTAGAGAATGGACTTGAGGACACGTGGAGGGGGAAGGGTAAGCTGGAATGAAGTGAGAGAGTGGCATGGACATATATACACTACCAAATGTAAAATAGATAGCTAGTGGGAAGCAGCTGCATAGCACAGGGAGATCAGCTCGGTGCTTTGTGACCACTTAGAGGGGTGGGATAGGGAGGGTGGGAGGGAGACGCAAGAGGGAGGAGATATGGGGATATATGTATATGTATAGCTGATTCACTTTATTATAAAGCAGAAACTAACACACTATTGTAAAGCAATTATACTCCAATAAAGATGTTAAAAAAAAGAAAACACTAATTTGAAAAGATATATGCACCCCAATGTTCATAGCAGCATTATTTACAATAGCTAGGATATGGAGGCAACTTGTGTCCATCAACAGATGAATGGATAAAGAAAATGTAACACACACACACACACTGGACTACTACTCAGTCTTAAAAAAAGAGTGAAATTTTGCCATTTGCAACAACATGGATGGAATTGGAGGGTATTATGCTTAGTGAAATAAGTCAGAGAAAGAGAAATACTATATGATAAAACTTATATGTGGAATTTAAAAAATAAAATAAAATAGTGGATATAACAAAAAAGAAACAGACTTACAGACATAGAGAACAAACCAGAGGGGAGAGGAAAGCAGGGAGGGACAAGGTAGGGGTATTGGATTAAGTGGTACAAACTACTATGTGTAAAATAAATAAGCTACAAGGGTATATTATACAGCACAGGGAATATAGCCAATATTTTATAATAACTATAAATGGAATATAACCTTTAAAAATTGTGAATCAATATTTTGTACATCTAAAACATATAATATTATAAATCAACTATACCTCAAAAAAAATAATAAAGGTGTATTAAAACAAAAAAAAACAAACAAAAAAACTACCTGACTGACATGGTCCAAAGCTGTGGTTTTTAGATGTTTCATTGATTTGCATTTGATAAAAATTCAAACATATTTTACCCTAAGAAAACAATCACATGGCCATAGATGCATGGGTTTATTTCTGGACTCTCTATTTCATTGGTTTATATGTCTATCCTTATGTCGTACCACGCTGTTTTGATTACTGTAGCTTTCCATAAGTTTTGAAGTCTGAAGTGTAAGTCCTTTGATTTTGTTCTCTTTTTCAAGATTGTTTTGGCTATTCTAGGCCCCTTGAAATTCCACATGAATTTGAGGATCAGCTTTTCCATTTCTGCCCGAAAGGCTGTGGAGTTTTGATAGGGATTATGTTGAATCTGTAGACTGCTTTGTATAGTATTAATATTTTAACAACATTAAGTCTTCCTATCTATGATCAAGAGATGTTTTTCCATTTATTTAATTTCTATTTTTTAAAGGATCTTTTTTTTTTTTTTTTTAGATGTTGGGGGTAGGAGTTTATTAATTAATTTATTTTTGCTGTGTTGGTGTTGGGTCTTCGTTTCTGTGCGAGGGCTTTCTCTAGTTGTGGCAAGCGGGGGCCACTCTTCATCATGGTGTGCGGGCCTCTCACTATCACGGCCTCTCTTGTCGCAGAGCACAGCCTCCAGACGCGCAGGCTCAGTAGTTGTGGCTCACGGGCCTAGTTGCTCTGCGGCATGTGGGATCTTCCCAGACCAGGGGTTGAACCTGTGTCCCCTGCATTAGCAGGCAGATTCTCAACCACTGCGCCACCAGGGAAGCCCTATTTAATTTCTTTCAGCAATATTTATTATACAAGTCTTTCACTGCCTTGGTTAAGTTTATTCCTAAATATTTTATTCCTTTGGATGCTACTGTAAATGTAATTATTTTCGTAATTTCCTTTCAGGATTTTTCATTGCTAATTTATAGAAACAACTGATTTTTGTATGTTGATCTTGTACTCTGAAATCACTGAATTTGCTTATTAGCTCTAGTAGTGGTTTGTGTGTGTGTGTATTCTTTGGGAATATATGTACATTTATATATATATAGGTATAGATAGATAATCTATATATAATCATGTCATCTATGACATAATCATGTCATCTCTGTAGATAATCATGTCATCTCTGTAGATAATCATGTCATCTATGAATAGAGATAGTTTTACTTTTTCTTTTCAATATATATGTCTTTTATTTCTTTTTCTTGTCTAATTGATCAGGCTACAACTTCCAGTACAATGTTGAGTAGCTGCAGTGAAAACAGCATCTTTGTCTTATTCCTGAGCTTCAGGGGAAAGCTTTCAGGATTTCACTATTGAGTATGATGTTAGCTGTTTTTCATAAAAGTACTTTATCATGTTGAGAAATTTTACTTCTCTTCTTAGTTTTCTGAGTGTTTTTATCATGAAGGGGTGTTGGATTTTGTCAAGTTCCTTTTCAATGTCAGTTATGACCGTGTCAGTTTTTCCCCTTGTCCTTTAATGTCATCTGTTGCATAGATTGATTTTCTACTGTTGAACTACTCTTCCATTCCTGAGATAAATCCCACTTGGTCATGATGTATAATCCTTTTAACAGTTTGCTAGTATTTCATTGAGGATTTTTGTATCTACCAGCTACCCAAACCACCCCACCCCAGGGTACTGAAGTCTTTGTGGTCTTCAGATCTAATGATTTTCTTTAATCCTTATGCAGTCAAAACTCTTGGCCATTCCTTCCTTTGATATTGGTTACTGTTTACTCCTTTCTCCCTGAAATACTCTTTCTTCTTGGTTTCTGAGGCAGTACACCCTCCTGTTTTCTCTCTCATTTCTAGGTACTCCTCCATCTCCACTGGAGATTCTGATCATCCTTTAAGCGTTTTGTTTTTGTTTTTGTTGTTGTTTTTGTTTTTGCGGTATGCAGGCCTCTCACTGTTGTGGCCTCTCCTGTTGCAGAGCACAGGCTCCAGACATGCAGGCTCAGTGGCCATGGCTTACGGGCCCAGCTGCTCCGTGGCATGTGGGATCTTCCCGGGCCCAGCTGCTCCGTGGCATGTGGGATCTTCCCGGACCGGATCTTCCCGGACACAAACCCGTGTCCCCTGCATCTGCAGGCGGACTCTCAACCACTGTGCCACCAGGGAAGCCCCCCTTTAAGTGTTTTATTTCTTAGGATCCTTTGGAAGATCTCAGTGACTCTATTCACACTCAAACTTCAGTGATCCTTTTTTTGCCAGCAATTCCCAAGTCAATGTCTCTAGATAAGGCCTCCTCTGACCTACATTTGGAGCTACCTCCTGAACAACTCCTCTGGAATGTCCCACAGGTAGTTAAATACCCAACAGGACTCACAGGTCTTTCATGTTCAGGCCTCTGCTTACCTTTGCAGGAAAATGTTAAGGGGCATTTCAGTCTTAAGGAAAGAGGTACAGCATTCATTTCATTTGAATCTCAGTTATGTTGGTTTCTAGCTCTTCATGCTTGAGAGAATTCCTTAGCTTCTTCCATGTGTTTCTCTTGCTTCATTTGTAATGTGGGGACAATACTTGGTATGAAGATTAACGATAATGAAAATGATAATGTAAAGGTCTTGACCCATGTTAAGTTCTAAATAAATGGCAGCTATTTAGTAATAGTATTGGTCAGACATACAAGGGAATAGAAAATAATACTAGCTGTCCATCGTTTCTACTGACACTGACTTAAGCTTCCATCCATTTTTATGCTGGGTGGGACTTGAGCAGCAGATTCCAGATGAAGAGTACTGGAGCCTTGCTCTGGGTCCCATTTGGGGATTTATCCCTATAATAAGATCATCTTTTTATTGTTAAGCCCCTTTTGGTAAGTGATCCAAAACTGGATGTTATTCTGCTGTATAGAAAGCTGTATTTATTAATTAGTGTGTTTTTATACTCATTGCTTGCCTTAAGGTGATCATCCATCCACTGATTTTTATTTAAGTACTAGTGGTTTTCTACTTCCTCTGTCTTTGTGCTTCAAATTCTGGCTTTACCATTCATGAAACAGAATGGGAAATAGATTCATTAAAAATCAGATTAGAATTTGTTACAAGAGAAAGCTGGGAAGTTTCTGCATTTAGTGCTTTGAAATGATGAATTGCTTTGTTTTAAATATTAAGACACCCATCAATGAAATATTTATGCATCATTTGCCTATTTAAATATCAATTCAATAATCAATTATTTAAGCTCTGATAAGTACCTGAAATCTTTCAATCAAGATCAAAGGAACTTTTAAGTTTGAATAAGGTATTGTACTGGAAATTTTACTGTCTTTTTAAGGTTCACTTTAAAAACCAGGTGCCTGTTTTATGTGAGTTCTTTGCTAAAATCATTTTTAAATGGCTTAAAAATCACTTGGACTTTTTTTTTTTCAAATTATCTTCTCCCAGTCCCTTAACATAAGGAAAGGGTGCCCTAACTTTGGGTGCAGTTATTGTATTCAAGTTTTAGTGACTTCATTCATTCATTTCTAAACTGTAAATGGAAGAAAAGTACATATTTTGTTAAGACCTACCTCGATACGTATGCGTTGATGAAGGGAATGATTTTGAAATGCCGGTTTTCACGTCCCTAGCTCTTCAGCGTTTGAAGAGTTAAATCCGGGGTTGGCTTCCGTCCCTAGCCCGGGAAGCTACTAGGGCTCGGAGCGTGACCTCCGCTGTTAACCCTCTGGGCCAACCGGCCCCCCAAAGGCGCCGGAACCGCCGGATTCCGCCCGAGGGGCGGGCCCACTCTGCCTGGCTTCTCCCGCGACCCCGCCCCTGCGCCGGCACCGCCGCGGCCTCCCTGGTAGTTGCTCGCGATGATGCAAACACTCACTTCCCGCATCCACTCCCCACAGAGGCCGCGGAGCCGGCGCCTGCCGGGCGCGCCGCCGAGCTGCGCGCCATGGGCAACATCCAGAAGAAGCTGACTGGCAAGAGCGAGGGCGGCAGGCGGCCGCAGAGGGGCGCGCCGCGGCGGGGCCGGGCGCCGGAGGCCGGCGCGGACAAGCGGGACCGGCCGCGGGCCCCGGCGACGGCGGGCGGCTCCAATGGGCACCCGGGCGGCGGGCGGCGCTCGGGGGGCCCCGCGGCCAGCGCGCCCCCTGGTCCCGGCGCGTCCCCCGGACCTGGCGCGCCGCCGGCGCCGGCGCCCGCCGCCCCACTCGGCCCCGCCGGCCTGAAGAGCCAGGGCAACGAGCTCTTTAAAAACGGGCAGTTCGCCGAGGCGGCTCTCAGGTACTCGGCGGTGATCGCGCAGCTGGAGCCTGCAGGTGAGTGAGCTTCGCCCACGGGGTCCCTGGCCCCTCGGGCTGCGGCTCGCGGGACCTAAAGGGGCCACCGCGGGAGAGGCGCGGGCCACCTCCCGATTGACAGGCGCTCGCCCTATAGGTTCCTTCCCAGTAGCCGAGGGCAGGGCAGGAGCGACTCCACCTCCGGGAGCTGTACCTTGGAACGCGTAGCGTGTGCCCGGGCGGGGCACGGTTGCCGCGGTCCCTTACGGGCTTGGCCTCTCTGGCCACTGCGGGCACAGGGAGGTCCTCGGAGCTGCATTAGCAGCGGGGTGTAGGACTGCAGTGCCGCGGGAGACCTCAGTTGTCTGTTGAACTGTGATTTCGCTAATGGATTTTAACTGTATTTAATTAAATGTGATTTTAGGAAGTGGAAATGCAGATGATCTAAGTATCTTATATTCAAATAGAGCAGCATGTTACCTAAAAGACGGAAATTGCAGTGGCTGCATTCAAGATTGTAACAGGTAAACTGCCCGTTTTCAGCTTTGTCAAGAGATTATCATTTCACTGTGATGAATGCAGTATTTAATATACTAAATTTTCTGCATAAGAGTCTAATTAAGACATTTAAGATGTGTTAATTGGTTAATACATAAAACTTGTAAATCCTTTCACATATATGAAGACAATTATAGAAGATTGTGCAAACTTTTTTCACTTCCACTGCTATCACCTTAATTCATACTCTTTTTCACATCAGTCTCAGAGTACTGGAGAAGCCTTCTAACTAGTCTCTCTGCTTCCTCCAATCCACTGTGGCATCAGAATAGCTTTTCCTGAAGCATTATTTTGTGCAGACTGTTTCAGCGGGTGTTCAGTGGCTCAGTATGGTCTTCTAGATAATTATAACCTCCTCTGTCACCACACTGCCCCCCAAAAAAGCTTTCTGCTCCCATTTGGTTCATATCTATAATGCCCTCTGTACATCTTTGCTTTTCAGAAATCCTTCCTCTTCAGCTTCCCCATCCTCTCTGCTTTCCTGATCACCTCGGGCTCCCTGGTCATCTGCATGGCTGTAATGCTTGCACTGTCACTCTCACACCTGTAGGTACTTATGTCATCCACTGCATTGGATTTTAAGCTCCCTGAGGTCAAGAATCATGTATTATAGGGTTGCATCCCTCAAGCACATTAGTCACCCATGGTACTCAACAAGTTACATGCTGAGATGGATGAATATATTTACATGAATAAAAAGTATCATATTACCATTAAATAATAAGCCTGCTTCAGGAGCCCTTTGGAAAGAAGCTACTATTAGTGCATCTAAAAAATAAGAAGCCATATGTACTGGTTTAGCCTTCACAGTTTTGGTTTACTCCTGTAGTCTGGTATAATTGTTAATATCATCCCCTTTCACTCTCAGAAGCCCTAGTTTGGACAGTAGCATGTGTGGACACCTTGATTATAAGGTAAACAGTTTTTTTTTCCATTGATAGTATCAGTTTATTGATATGGATAAAATCTTGCTGGTATCTGTGCCTGCAGTTTAAAAAGAAGGCCGTGAGCTGCTTGGATTTTTTGCCGATTTTACATATTCATATTTAAAATCAATAATATTTATATTCACATTGGTCTGACTCTAGACCCCACCTACTGCTGTGCTATCTCACACTAGCTAATTGTTAGGTTTTCAGGATCTTGTGAGTTGGTTGAAGTCAAGTTGGTAGTTGAAATCTGCCATGGTTGGAGTACTACTAATACCATGAAAATTGGCAAATGACCCAAACCTGGGCCTCTTTACTCAGGAGAGCCGGTTGTTAAACATTTACCGCTGCCCATAACTAACAACAAGACCACGTGTATTTGCAGATTATCAGGCACGTTGTGATTTGCAGCTAAGAACCTTCCAGTTCAAGTGTGTGATGGTAATATATTACCCTTCAGACTTGTCTGAGGTCTTCCTTCAGTGAGTGAGTTCAGGACTCTAGTTACAAACAGTGGACTCACTTTATCCTTAAGTGAGAGTAAGGTGGCAGACATTTTCTTGCTAAAATGTGTTGTTTCAGTGTAGACCCAGGAGGAAGTCACAGAGGAGACTCTGGGGTCAGGAGTGGGGGTGGGCACTAGAATGGAGGTTTGCCCTGGAGGAGAGCGGGAGATTGCCTGCAGGGGAGGGAGGGAGGGAGGGAGGTGGGTGGTGGTTTAGGTAAGGTGTCCTTAGTTAAAAGCTGTGTTCTAGGCTGAGGAATCTGGTTCTGCTGGTCAGTACTGACCTTTCTAGAAGCCGACCTACTTAGATGTTTTCTTTGATACCTGGTGTATGAGTCTCAGCATAAGGAGCATGGTGTGATTTTACGCCAAAGCAGCGATTCTCAAACTCATTTCAGTGCCAGGGAAACCATGATTTACTTATGTGAACATGTTGAACTATGGCTGTATTTAAATATGTATAAACTAGGAACCAATTATTAGCAGAAGGATGTCTGTTTTCTCTTCACCTGAAAAAGATTACATACATTTTAAAGGGAGCCTATTTTTTAGTTTTTCAGTTAATTATCTTTGCTCCTTGGAGAGTTGTTTCCTGTTGCAGGAGCGCTTATTACAAAACAAGTGGTAGCAGGATTCAAACAGCGGAAAAAGAAAAACTGCCCAGGGCAAAGTTTAAAATAAGGGAGAGGGGGAACCTATGAAATAACTTTGTATGCATTTTTGGGGGAAAGTCTTTGATTTTAAGTGTCTACACTCCTGGGGCCTACTCTGAAGCACTTCCCTTGAGCTCTTTCCCAGGGGCTTATGGAGAGCAGCTGCTGGGAGCATGAGGCTGTTTGAGGAGCTCAGTGGCTGCAGGCCCTGCCCTCTCCTCCCCTCAGCATCTCCAGGTTTCTAGGTTAGGCTTCCAGGTGAAGCATGAAACAGGGTTATGACACCTAAGAAAAGTTTAAAATCAAATGATTTTAAACAATAAAACAATTTCTAGAAATAATTCTAGAATTATTTCTAGAAATTCTAGAATTATTTCTAGAAATTACTTGTCATTCTCATAATTGCTTATCAGCTAAAAGAAAAATCTTCACTGTTCCCATCTGTCAGAGAATCTTTTTGGGTTATCTAAACCACATCAAAAATCTTTCACTGATTTTCCACTGAGGGTATTCTGACAGAATCAAGACGAATGAATGTTGCCTAGTAATTCTCTGCTTTTTCTCATCTTTGTTGCTCACAGACGAACTTGAAATTAGAAGACGATTTAAGAGTCTTACCTGTGTTAACTTGAATAGTTAAGCTTTTGTAAACTCTGGTTTAAAAGTTCTCTGTGTTTGTTTTTATGAATGGATGTGCTTTTTTTTTTTCTTTTTTTCTTCTAGTGGAATTCTCACTTAAAAGCTCACATTCATTTTCAGGATTGCGGTTAAAGAGAAAAAACCTTGCATTTACTTGGCTGGGCAGTGCTAAAAATTAAATGCATCATCTCATTCAGTTTTAGATTCCACGCCTACCTCAGGTCTCTCTTGTGGATAAATAGCACCTTGGGTGTTGGAAGTCTTTGGTAAAATGGGGGTAGTCTTGTGTTTGTGACCTATATTTATAATCACTGTGTAGTTAATATTCCCTAAGCATTTAACTAAGGTAGATTTAAGGCAGTGGTACAGATGCCCAGAAACCTGTTTTCTAGTGTTTGAGTGTTTTTAATGGACTTTAATTTTATTTTTAAAATAACTTTTACTGGTCGCAAGAGTAATACATACCTATTATACAAAAAAGTCTTAAAACCCAGTACAACGCAAAGAAGATCATTAAAATCATCCCCAATCCTAACACTTAGGCAAAGCAAAATTGGTTATTTTTCAAAGAAATGAAGCTAATTAGGTTTAATGACATTTCTAGAACAAATTCTATGATACACAGCTGAGGAACACACCCAGTTGAGTATCTGTAAGATGTAGAGCAGCGGTCCCCAGCCTTTTTGGCACCAGGGACCAGTTTCGCGGAAGACAACTTTTCCTCGGATTGGGGGGATGGTTCAGGAAGTAATGCAAGGGGCTGCGAAGATGGGGAGCGGCAGATGAAGCTTCACTTGCTCATCCACCGTTCACCTCCTGCTGTGCAGACTGGCTCCTAACAGGCCGTGGACCGGTACCGGTCCGTGGCCCACGGGTTGGGGATCCCTGAATGGCAGGTGACTCTGAGTTCCTTTATCTGTGGTGCTCTTGTTTCTGTTCGTGGTAGAAAGCGTGTAGGCCCTGCAGGTTCATTTGGGAGGGGTTTGCTGAGTCCCTCCAGTGGCCTGGCAGTGATCTAGGCACTGGGATACAGTGGTGATCAGCTCCCGCAACGCCAGTGCTTTCCTGCAGCTTAAATTCAGAAGAATGGGCACGTGGGCAGACTGCTCCCTGTGTCTCTCCGTTTCCTCACCTGCAACATGAACATGTTACTATTTACCTTGCAGGCTTGTTGTGACATTAGATGAGAATGTCTGCAGAGACTAGCAATGGCAGATGTTGTCGGAGCTTCCTCCTTCCAGATCACTGTAGACAGGTATAGACAGCAGATCTCTAGGACTGTTGGGGAAAAAGTCAAGAAGCCCTCACTCGTGCTTTTCCTGAAGCAAGTTAAATGTCTGATCTATAAACTGCTCATGCATAAGAATTACCAGAAGAGCAAACCTTTATGCCCGCTGTGGGCAGTCTGGCACGGAGATTTGTTAGTGGATTATTAGCTCTTCATAGGATCTCTGCACGGAGTACTTCTTTACAGTTTCAGCTGATTTTGTTAAAACTAAGAGTACAATAGTTTTCATTCATAAATACAATCTTTTGATTGTATTCTTTGTTTCAGAATATAATGAAGTGCCTTAAGTAGTGAGGTAGCTTTAAGCAGTTACTTCAGACAAAACCAAGGAACATAACCTTGAAATACATCTCTAGTGATATTGGAAATGCTTCATAGGCTAAAAAGTACAAGGTGAAAATTCATGACTTACAAGAAATTATTGGGTACTTACTCCCTTGATTTCCTCGGGTCTATGTTTGAAGCCCTTTGGCAGCAAATAAATCATAATCAACTGTATTAAGTTTTGGAGAGCTTATTTTCAAAATGCAGTGTAGGTTTTGTGGTTCTGTGCTAAGTGCCTTATTAAATACATGGGTGCAAATAAAAATTTTCCTTTTAATCTGTCAATAACAAGAACCTGTTGAAAGCCTACTCTGTGCTTGGTGCCATGATAGGCTCTGCTAGTACACAGGGGAGTGGGAGGGAGGGCACCGCCTGCTCTCGGGGAGTTCAGTCTCACTGGGGGAAAGAGCAGGCTTCGATACTGTTTTAAAAGAAAGGAAGTAACCACAGATTTGATTGCTCTGCTACTCTGGGTTTGCCTTTCTGGTATGTTGCCAGATCCCCAAGGTAAAATATCAGATATGAATGCATGTGAGAGTCCAGTCCTATCGGATACATTCAGTTAGCGTAAGTAAGGGAGTAATTTTCAAAACAAATGACAGTGTAATATTTCTGTCTCCTTTAGGGCTCTGGAACTTCGTCCATTCTCAATCAAGCCTCTTCTTCGACGAGCAATGGCCTATGAAGCTTTAGAGCAGTATCAGAAAGCTTATGTGGATTATAAAACAGTGTTGCAAATAGACTGCGGAATCCAGATAGCAAATGACAGTGTTAACAGGTAACCTGATCAGAGGCAGCCGCCTGAGGTCTAGTTGTTTTCTAATGGAATGAGATTTTATTTTCCTCCCCTCCTTCAAGAACGATGTCAAAGTGTAGACGTGTTCTTTGTTATTGGCATTACATGAATGATTGTCTTCTTTCATTCCTTCAAAACCAAATGGTTTTGATGGATATCTTCATGGGCCTGCTAGATATTTGTGTTATGTGCCCTTTAAATAGACACTCATCTAGGATGAGTATTAACTTAAAATGGCAAAATAGCACAGAATTTGGTTCTAATTTATATTATGACCTATTTACCCCCTGGGTGAGAATGGGAAGGTAAGAATTTCCAGACTTCATAAATTGCTTTCAGGTGAACTTTGAAAATTACTACTTGGATAACATTTCTAGGTATGTAGAATATTTTTCTGGTCCCATTTGTCCAAAGTATAATTTCTTCCAAGTATGTGTATAGTACACTGAGCCTTGTGTTGGTCTAGCGTACCATGCCCCACTCCCCACAAAAAGACAGAAAGGGAAAAAAAAAAAAATGACATAGCCTCTGTCTTTAAGTAAACTAGAACATAGCTGGGGGGAACAACTTAACATAAGACAGATTCTCCCCGAGTGTGAACATTAGTGAGGTGGGGATCACAGAGAGGTGAGGCTACCTTTGTCTGTGTGGGCCACAGTTGTTGGAGAGGTGAAGGGCGTTGAGAGACCACGAGGGGACCTTGAACAAAGCTATGGAAAATGAGAATGGCAGGTTTCGGATTAATTCCTTTTTTGAGATCCTGCCTTACCTCCCCACGTGGTCCCACTGCACTTTGGAGAAAAACTCTTGGAAAGATCCGTGTGGAGAGTGGGCTTGGTGCTTCTACTCTGGTCGCTCAGGACCTGTCTGGTCCCAGCCTGTCCGGAAGTAAAGGGTAGATATTGGTTATTGGATCTGAGTGGGACCAGATGGAACCGTGGGCATTCACAGCTTGGTCTCCATCCTGTAAAATCAGGCGTGTCACTGAGAGCTCTCCTAGCCTTTTCTCCTGCTGCACAGCTGCCTCGCTGCACGTCATCTGCTGCCTCCTCATATGTGTCTGAAGGCTCTTCTTCCCCCTTTTTGTCTGGTTAATTCCTTCTTGTCCCGAAGAAGAGGACTTTCCCTGATCCACCATCTCCCCAGCACACGTGCCCTTCAGGCTCCTCTCCTACCACCTATGCCTTCTTTCCATATTGTTTGTAAATTCTCTGCCTTCTCTTTTTGTAAAGTTCTTTTTCTCTTATTCTTCTAGGAGTTCCTGGAGGTCGGGGTTGTGTTTTATCTGTCTCTGTAGTTGCGGTACTTTGTACAGTAGGCATCCTCAGTAAAATTGCGTGGAATGAATGCATTCTCCAACAGACAGAGCGTGGCTCCCCCATGCTGTGGAATTCTGCTCTTAATTTGCCCATCCTCTGTGTGGGAGTCTCCGAGATGGTTGGGGAAAGTAGGATCTTTTCCCAGGGTTAGGGGTTCTCATGAAACAAAGAAGCATCTGACAGAGAGACAAGGGGCCTGTTGAGGAGGTGTTTTAGGAAATCTGGTTCATAATGATAGGCTGAATGGTCTGAAGGGAGGAATTTATGTCTGAAAGACTGGGCATTCACATTTCTGAACCTTCTGCATTATACTTTGTTAAAATATTGAAGTAAAATTCACATAACAGCTAAATTAACTATTTTAAGGTGTACAGTTTAGCAGCCTTCAGTACACTCACAGTGTTGTGCAGCCACCACCTTTAACTAGTTCCAAAATATTTCATCCCCAAAGGGAAACTCTGTCCCCCTTAAGCAGCCACTCCTCATTCTGCCTTTCCAAGCACCTGACCTGCTGTCTCTATGGATTTACCCTTTCTGGATAGTTCATATAAATAGAATCATACAATATGTACCTTTGGTGTCTGGCTTATTTCACTTAGCATAATGTTTTCAAGGTTGGTCCGCGGTGTGGCATGTGTGTTGACGTCATTTCTTTTTATGACTGAATAATATTCTGTTGTATGGATGTATCACATTGTGTTTATCCATTCATCCGTTGATGGACCTTTCAGCTGTTTGCACCATTTGGCTGTTGTGAATAGTGCTGCTCTGAACATTCACGTGCAAGGTTTTGTTTGCATACGTGTTTTCAGTTCCTTTTGGCGTACACCTAGGCATGGAATTGCTGGGTCATGTGGTAATTCTGTTTAGCTTTTTGAGGACTGTATTGTAATTTTTATATGTACTCAAGAAGGTTCTTTTACACAAATTGACTTTTAAGACTCATTCATGTTTTTTAATTGAATGGCTCTTGCTGATATGTCGTTTTATAAGATGAGGAGGCTTTGTCTGGTTTTGCCATATATATCTTCTATAAAATATCCATTTAGAAAATTTCACTATACCTTTTCATGAATCCCATATTTATGCTTGCTTTGCCACCAAAGCCACAGCAGCTTTTTTTTTTCTTAAATTTAAACATCTGTGCCTATTTTGTATGTGTCTTCCATTAACCATATCCCTCCCCAGGAATCTTACGTGTTACATTTCCCTGCATATACTTATTTATTCCCAGGCAACACATCATCTCTTTTCAGCTGCTTCTTCCTTACCTCTCTGCTGGTAATACAAGTTTTGCTTGAAAATTCTTTTTTTCTAAAATTTTCTTTCTTTTTCTTCTGCTGTTGTGGGTGGTTATACATTTATTTTTTCAAATTTATTTTTTACACTAAAATATATGAGATGTGGTTATCATAGCCAAAGATCACTATTGAAATTTCGGTTTATGAAATTGCAGGGAAAGTGTATGTATTACATTTGCCTCTATATAAATATAAAATAGTTTTCACAGAAAAAGTACTACTGAGCTAACTAATTGGAATGCATTCTACTAATTACCAGTAACTTTATCAGTCTTGGGGACCACCTTTTTAAAATTATTTATTTATTTTTAACATCTTTACTGGAGTATAATTGCTTTACAATGGTGTGTTAGTTTCTGCTTTATAACAAAGTGAATCAGCTATACATATACATATATCCCCATATCTCCTCCCTCTTGAGTCTCCCACCCTCCCTATCCCACCTCTCTAGGTGGTCACAAAGCACCGAGCTGATCTCCCTGTGCTATACAGCTGCTTCCCACTAGCTAGCTGTTTTACATATGGTAGTGTATATATATCCGTGCCACTCTCTCACTTCATCCCAGCTTACCCTTCTCCCTCCCCGTGTCCTCAAGTCCATTCTCTACTTCTGCATCTTTATTCCTGTCCTGCCCTCAGGTTCTTCAGAAGCTTTTCTTTTTTTTTTTTAATTTAGATTCCATATATATGTGTTAGCATACGGTATTTGTTTTCCTCTTTCTGACTTACTTCACTCTGTATGACAGACTCTAGGTCCATCTACCTCACTAGAAATAATTCAATTTTGTTTCTTTTTATGGCTGAGTAATATTCCATTGTGTATATGGAATATTTTATCCATTTTATCAACATCATCTTTATCCATTCTTCTGTCAGTGGACACTTAGGTTGCTTCCGTGTCGTGGCTATTGTAAATAGAGCTGCAGTGAACATTGGGGTACATGACTCTTTTTGAATTATGGTTTTCTCAGGGTATATGCCCTGTAGTGGGATTGCTGGGTCGTATGGTAGTTCTATTTTTAGTTTTTTAAGGAACATCCATACTGTTCTCCATAGTGGCTGTATCAATTTACATTCCCACCAACAGTGCAAGAGGGTTCCCTTTTCTCCAAACCCTCTCCAGCATTTATTGTTTGTAGATTTTTTGATGATGGCCATTCTGACTGGTGTGAGGTGATACCTCATGGTAGTTTTGATTTGCATTTCTCTAATGATTAGTGATGTTGAGCATCCTTTCATGTGTTTGTTGGCAATCTGTATATCTTCTTTGGAGAAATGTCTCGTTTTTTTAATTTTTATTTTTATTTCCAGTTCTCTAGGAGGTGGGTCAAAAAGGATCTTGCTGTGATTTATGTCATAAGAGTGTTCTGCCTATGTTTTCCTCTAAGAGTTTTATAGTGCCTGGCCTTACATTTAGGTCTTTAATCCATTTTGAGTTTATTTTTGTGTATGGTGTTAGGGAGTATTCTAATTTCATTCTTTTACACGTAGCTGTCCAGTTTTCCCAGAACCACTTATTAAAGAGGCTGTCTTTTCTCCATTGTATATTCTTGCCTTTATCAAAAATAAGGTGACATAGGTGCGTGGGTTTATCTCTGGGTTTTCTATCCTGTTCCATTGATCTGTATTTCTGTTTTTGTGCCAGTACCATGCTCTCTTTGATTACTGTAGCTTGGTAGTATAGTCTGAAGTCAGGGAGCCTGATTCCTCCAGCTCCATTTTTCTTTCTCAAGATTCCTTTGGCTATTTGGGGTCTTTTGTGTTTCCATACGAATTGTGCAATTTTTTGTCCTAGTGCTGTGAAAAATAACATTGGTAGTTTGATAGGGATTGCATTGAATCTGTAGATTGCTTTGGGTAGTATAGTAATTTTCACAATGTTGATTCTTCCAATCCAAGAACATGGTATATCTCTCCATCTGTTTGTATCATTAATTTCTTTCATCAGTGTCTAATAGTCTTCTGCATACAAGTCTTTTGTCTCCTTAGGTAGGTTTATTCCTAGGTATTTTATTCTTTTTGTTGCAGTGGTAAATAGGAGTGTTTCCTTAATTTCTCTTTCAGATTTTTCATCATTAGTGTATAGCAATGCCAGAGATTTCTGTGCATTAATTTTGTATCCTGCTACTTTACCAAATTCATTGATTAGCTCTCGTAGTTTTCTGGTAGCATCTTTAGGATTCTCTATGTATAGTATCATGTCATCTGCAAACAGTGACAGCTTTACTTCTTTTCTGGTTTGGATTCCTTTTATTTCTTGTTCTTCTCTGATTGCTGTGGCTAAAACTTCCAAAACTATGTTGAATAACAGTGGTGAGAGTGGGCAACGTTGTCTTCTTCCTGATCTTAGTGGAAATAGTTTCAGTTTTTCACTACTGAGGACGACGTTGGCTGTGGGTTTGTCATATATGGCCTTTATAATGCTGAGGTAAGTTCCATCTGTGCCTACTTCCCGGAGCGTTTTTATCATAAATGGGTGTTGAATTTTGTTAAAAGCTTTTTCTGCATCTATTGAGATGATCATATGGTTTTTATTCATTTTGTTAATATGGTTTATCACATTGTTCGATTTGCGTATATTGGAGAATCCTTGCATTCCTGGGATAAACCCCACTTGATCATGGTGTATGATACTTTTTTGTTGTTTGTTTGTTTGTTTGTTCTTTTGCTGTACGCGGGCCTCTCACTGTTGTGGCCTCTCCCGTTGCAGAGCACAGGCTCCAGACGCGCAGGCTCAGTGGCCATGGCTCACGGGCCTAGCCGCTTCGCGGCATGTGGGATCTTCCCGGACCAGGGCAAGAACCCGTGTCCCCTGCATTGGCAAGTGGACTCTCAACCACTGCGCTGCCAGGGAAACCCAAGTGTATGATACTTTTAATGTACTGTTGGATTCTGTTTGCTTATATTTTGTTGAGGATTTTTGCATCTGTGTTCATCAGTGATATTGGCCTGTAGTTTTCTTTCTTTGTGACATCTTTGTCTGGTTTTGGTATTAGGGTGATGGTGGCCTGGTAGAATGAGTTTGGGAGTGTTCCTCCCTCTGCTATATTTTGGAAGAGTTTGAGAAGGATAGGTGTTAGCTCTTCTATAAATATTTGATAGAATTCGCCTGTGAAGCCATCTGATCCTGGGCTTTTGTTTGTTGGAAGATTTTTGATCACAGTCTCAGTTTCAGTGCATGTGATTGGTCTGTTTATATCTTCTGTTTCTTTCTGGTTTAGTCTCAGAGGGTTGTGCTTCTCTAAGAATTTGTCCATTTCTTCCAGGTTGTTCATTTTATTGGCATATAGTTGCTTGTAGTAATCTCTCATGATCTTTTGTATTTCTGCGGTGTCAGTTGTTACTTCTCTTTTTTCACTTCTAATTCTATTGATTTGAGCCTTCTCCCTTTTTTTCTTGATGAGTCTGACTAATGGTTTAACAATTTTGTTTATCTTCTCAAAGAACCAGCTTTTAGTTTTATTGATCTTTGCCATTGTTTCCTTCATTTCTTTTTCATTTATTTCTGATCTGATATTTATGATTTCTTTCCTTCTGCTAACTTTGTGGGGTTTTTTGTTCTTCTTTCTCTAATTGCTTTAGGTGTAAGGTTAGGTTGTTGCAGATGTTTCTTGTTTCTTGAGGTAGGATTGTATTGCTATAAACTTCCCTCTTAGAACTGATTTTGCTGCATCCCATAGGTTCCAGGTCTTTGTGTTTTCATTGTCATTTGTTTCTAGGTATTTTTTGATTTCCACTTTGATTTCTTCAGTGATCTCTTGGTTATTAAGTAGTAAGTATACTGTTTAGCCTCCACGTGTTTGTATTCTTTATAGATTTTTTCCTGTAATTAATATCTAGTCTCATAGTATTGTGGTCAGAAAAGATACTTGATGCGATTTCAATTTTCTTAAATTTACCAAGCCTTGATTTGTGACCCAAGATATGATCTATCCTGGAGAATGTTCCATGAGCACTTGAGAAGAAAGTGTGTTCTGTTGTTTTGGGATGGAATGTCCTATAAATATCAATTAAGTCCATCTTGTTTAATGTATCATTTAAAGCTGTGTTTCCTTATTTATTTTCATTTTGGATGATCTGTCCATTGGTGAAAGTGGGGTGTTAAAGTCCCCTACTATGATTGTGTTACTGTCGCTTTCCCCTTTTATGGCTGTTAGCATTTGCCTTATGTATTGAGGTGCTCCTATGTTGGATGCATAAATATTTACAATTGCTATATCTTCTTCTTGGATTGAGCCCTTGATCATTATGTAGCGTCCTTCTTTGTCTCTTGTAACAGTCTTTATTTTAAAGTCTATTTTGTCTGATATGAGAATTGCTGCTCCAGTTTTCTTTGGATTTCCACTTGCATGGAATATCTTTTTCCATCCCCTTTCAGTCTGTATGTGCCCCTAGGTCTGAAATGGGTCTCTTGTAGACAGCATATATATGGATCTGTTTTGGTATCCATTCAGCCAGTCTGTGTCTTTTGGTTGGAGCATTTAATCCATTTACATTTAAGGTAGTTATCGATATGTATGTTTTTATTACCCATTGTTTTCAGTTTGTTATTGTAGGTCTTTTCCTTTTCTTGTGTTGCCTGCCTAGAGAAGTTCCTTTAGTATTTGTTGTAAAGGTCGTTTGGTGGTGCTAAATTCTCTCAGGTTTTGCTTGTCTGTAAAGGTTTTAATTTCTCCGTCGAATCTGAATGAGATCCTTGCTGGGTAGAGTAATCTTGGTTGTAGTTTTTTCCCTTTCATCACTTTAGATATGTCCTGCCACTCCTTTCTGGCTTGCAGAGTTTCTGCTGAAAGATCAGCTGTTAACCTTATGGGGAGTCCCTTGTATGTTATTTGTTGTTTTTCCCTTGTTGCTTTTAATATTTTTCTTTGTATTTAATTTTTGATTGATTAATGTGTGTCTTGGCATGTTTCTCCTTGGATTTATCCTATATGGGACTCTCTGTGCTTCCTGGACTTGATTAACTATTTCCTTTCCCATATTAGGGAAGTTTTCAACTATAATCTCTTCAAATATTTTCCCAGTCCCCTTCTTTTTCTTTTCCTCTTCTGGGACCCCTATAATTCAAATGTTAGTGCATTTAATGTTGTCCCAGGGGTCTCTGAGACTGTCCTCAATTCTTTTCATTCTTTTTTCTTTATTCTGCTCTGCGGTGGTTATTTCCATCAATTTATTTTCCAGGTCACTTATCCGTTCTTCTGTCTCAGTTATTCTGCTGTTGATTCCTTCTAGAGAATTTTTATTTCATTTATTGTGTTGTTCATCATTGTTTGTTTGCTCTTTAGTTCTTCTAGGTCCTTGTTAAACGTTTCTTGTATTTTCTCCATTCTATTTCCAAGTTTTTGGATCATCTTTACTCTCATTACTCTGAATTCCTTTTCAGATAGACTGCCTATTTCCTCTTCATTTGTTTGGTCTGGTGGGTTTTTACCTTGCTCCTTCATCTGCTATGTGTTTCTCTGTCTTCTCATTTTGCTTATCTTACTGTGTTTGGGGTCTCCTTTTTGCAGGCTGCAGGTTCGTAGTTCCTGTTGTTTTTGGTGTCTGTCCCCGGTGGCTATGGTTGGCTCAGTGGGTTGTGTAGGCTTCCCTGTGGAGGTGACTAGTGCCTGTGTTCTGGTGGATGAGGCTGGATCTTGTCTTTCTGGTGGGTGGGAACCACCTTTTTTTTGAAACCAGATTTTTCCCAAAGACATAATTCAGTTTTGTTTTAAAATCTAAGTATGATATTTTGTAAGTTTAAAGTGATGAGAAAGTGATAATCCGGGATGTTATTTCAATATTATGATAGCCATTAGCAAATGTCATTAATACAAGGGCCCTCGTAGTAGACTGCAATATCCTATTCTTTCATCTTTATGCATATGAAAACAAAAAGAGTGGATAATTTTAGAGATGTAAAAAAACACAAGGTAAAGAGTATCTTAACCACAGGTAAATGTTTCTAGAAGAAGCACTATTCCATGTAACTGCTACTCCTCATCACTTTTAACAGCCAGGGTTATATACCTGTGTTTTGTATACACTTTGGGCATAGAAATTCCAAAGTAATTCTGATTATTCTCAAGAGTAGTACATTATCAATTTAGTAATTATATGAAATGTTATGCAGGGGATATTTCTTCTAGGCCTCCTAACTTTCAGTTTTATACTTCACTTTTTTTAAAATTAAAATTCTATTGCATATACATTAAAAATTTTTTAAACTAATTAGAAATGTCTTAATTTTTTCTTGTGATGCAAAAAGGATCTAAAGTTACATAGTTTGGGGCAATTTTTTTTTTTTTTTTTTTTTGTGGTATGCAGGCCTCTCACTGTTGTGGCCCCTCCCGTTGCGGAGCACAGGCTCCGGACGCGCAGGCTCAGCGGCCATGGCTCACGGGCCCAGCCGCTCCGCGGCATATGGGGTCTTCCCAGACGGGGGCACGAACCCATGTCCCCTGCATCGGCAGGCGGACTGTCAACCACTGCGCCACCAGGGAAGCCCTGGGGCAATTTTTAAGAGTCCTTTTTAAGACTGTTTATGTGGATAGCAAATGGCTTGATTGTGTACTTTCTACAGGGAAGTACAGAAATGCATCGCATTTGTACATTTTACTCTTGATATGACCTCCAGTCATGTAGAAAGCAAATTGCATGATCAACAGAGGAATCTGGTTTTCTTTTTAGGATAACAAAAATCCTCATGGCCCTGGATGGACCAAGCTGGCGGGAGAAGCTGTCGCCCATTCCTGCTGTGCCCACTTCCGCACAGTTGCGAGCTTGGCGGCCTGTGGCAGAGACGCCGCCAGACCAAGTGGGAGGTTCCTGCAGCCATCACCAACCGGGCATCACAGGTAGGGGAAGCCTATACTTATTTCTTCTGAGGGTTATCGGGAGCTGTGCATATATTTTCACAGTAAAGCAGAAGGATAAGTGCCTGAACTTAGGCATCCGCTATGGGTTTAAGTTAAGACCCTGTTCTCCCTCTTTCTAACTGCAGAGTCTTAGGAAGTTGCCCCATACCTCCAGTGTTTGTATATGAAAGGGGGAAATATGAGTAGCTGTCTCATGGAGTTATTCTCAGGAATAAATGGAGAGTTGCATATGAAATACTTAGCACATGTGCTGACTGTGTAAGCTTATAGTAGCCTCTTAATAAACGTTAAGTCAGCATTATTTTTAAAATAAGAAAAAAGAATTGAGTAGCATATAGTTCTCTACACACCATGTATGTGGCAAGGCTAGTTTAATGAGATTGATGTTTTTGAAATAATCAAGCAAAATAAAGCCCTACGAATCACCCTGGCTACTGTGATGAGATTCAGTTATAGAAAGCCAAGGAAGGAAGAGATAGGGGCATTAAGAAACTACCATAATAATCCAGTCAAGAGATAAGGGTGGCTTGAATAAAGAGGGTAGTAGAAGAGGTAGTGAGAATTATTAGATTCTAGTTACAATTTAAAGGTAAAGCTGACTAGTTGGATGTGGGAGAAGAGCTACAGATAATTTCAGGGTTTCTGTCTTGAGAAAGTAGAAGGATGGAAGTGCCATTTATTAGATGGGAAAACCGCAGAAAAATTAGATTTGGAACAATCAAGAGCTCAATTGTGGACACATCAAGTTCAGAAAACCTACTAGACATTCAAAAGAACTTAGAGTTTGAGAGGGGAGGGAGGTTGTATTGACATATAAACTTGAAAGCAGGCAGGTTATAAATGATATTTCAAGTTATGAGGTTAGATGAGATCACCAAGGTTTTACAAAGTATAATTGAGAGATCTAAAAATTAAGTCTTAGGGAATGCCATCATTTATTATAAGAACTTCTATGTACTTCCATATGAATTTTATAAATCTCACCATGCAGAAATTCTAGAATGCCAAAGATGCAAGGCTTTAATTTAAAACATCGTTTGGTTGTTTACATTTAAGGTTGGGGATAGGGCTATATAACATCTGACTTTGGTTTTACAAAGCAGAGAGGGAGTAGGAACAAAAATTGTTACTCTGTAGTAGCACCTTTCTCCCATCCTGTGGAGTGTTTTGGGGAACATGCCCAGGAAGATCTCTATTAAGTAACAACAAGAAAGTAAACATTTTTTTCAGGCTGTGCCACCATGCCAAGGGAAGGGACCAGAGCCTCACAAACCATGAAACGACTGACAGAAGTTGGGATCACATGGATCCTTGTAATTTAATCCCAATTTTCTTATAAAATAAACTATAGGTTTTCCAAAAAAAAAAAAAAAAGCCCTACAACATATATCTAGCAGTACCTCCTTCTGCCTTGTATCGTAGTTGTTCACATCCATACATACATCCTCACAGTGCTTATCTCAGAACTTTGTGCAGAGTGTTTAATGTGGCTTCACGCTTGCCTTCTGCTTGAAAGCTGGCTGAGGCTCCATTTCTCCTGCCTGCTTTAGGAACCCCATGTGTGTCTGTGTCGAGCTTCATCTTGCAGACATGCTGAGCCGTGATGTCCCAATGGCTCACCCTTTTCATTGCCTAGAAAGAAGATGCCGGGAACTTCTGCCAAGGCTTTTAGATGGTTCAGCAGTCCTGGGAAAAACATGGAGATCTCTAGCTTCTAGAATCCATTATGAATGGGGCCTGGCACAAAGCATTTACTCAGTAAAGGGTAGCTATTCATTACTAATAACGTGCATATACTAACCATACTATAGATATGTGATAGTGAATCATGAGCACAAGAATAATCAGCTCTTTCTGTTCATATTTGTGTACTAATTATTAGTGAGACTGGATACCAAAGACTTGAAAACAATGTAGGAAGAAAAGCTTGAGGAAAGTTTTTCAGCAAATTGGAAGAAAAAAAATCCTCTGTAATATTCTGTTTTAGAGCTTAGATGTACCAAGATTTATGGGGACTGTCATTTGGCCACATAGTGTGAGTTATTTGAAACATGAAACATTAGGCAGAGATATTCTGTAATTTGAAATAAAGGATGAAAAGTTAATATGTCATGCCATTTGTGCAGAGGGGCAAATAAGATTATTTTTTACATTCCAGGTTTATACTATAAATTCAGTACATCTATCAAGATTTTTAGATCACAGAATTTAAAGGCATATTTTAAAATTTGTTATGCAATTTTATTTTCTATCAAGATACTCCACAGAGTAAAGTTATTACATAGATTTAAAACTTTAAATTTTAACATTTTATGTATGTTAGAAAACTTTGGTTGCAAGTAACAGAATATCTGTTGACTTACAACTGTAAGGAATAGTTTTGGCTCAAGTAACTGAAAGGGCCCAGACAGGCTCTAAAATCAGGCACAACTTGTCAGGGCTCAGGCTCTGGCCAGAAATAAGAGAAATGTAGCAGTTTTAGACTTCATGTCTGCACATATCAATGTCCAAAAGGAGAGAGACACCATTGCTTTTGGTGGCATTAATTTAAGAATGAGGAGATATGTTGCCCCAAAGACCCAGCTTTTTTAGCCTGTTATTCTGTTGGCTGAGCTCTGTTGGTATTTATTCTAATGGGTCATGTGCCCATTGCTGAACCCCTCCCTGTAATGAAGAAATGCCATGCCATGAGTTCCCGATCAGTGGGGTCAGCTTCCCCTGGACACATGGGCTGAGTAGGAGAGGAGTGATAGCTGAATGAATGTTGAGGTACCCTTAGGAAGAAGGAAATGGATCCTGAGTGAGGAGTCAGCCATGCTCACTGCAAGATAATAGGCAATAGTAATAGTTGGGACTCTGATCGCAGATAACAGAAAACCCAACCATTAATGTCTTCAGCAAAAGAGGTTGTTTATCGGCACCCCTTGTGGAAAAGGCCACAAGTAGGATGGCTGCAGGGATGACTGGATTCGGCACTCAGAGGTTATTCGTTAGCTGTCTGTCTTGGCCTCTCTCTTGCTCTGTTGGCCCCATTCTCAGACAGATTCTCCCCTTGCATCGCACGATGGCAAAATAGCTCCTCCTTTTATCCTCACATTCCACGGCAAAGAGCAAGAATTACCTTACCAGAAGCTGCTACTAAAATCTTATTGTAGCTCATTGGCTCTCATAGGTCCATTCCTGACCAATTAGATTATTGCGGCCAAGGGAACATAGTGTGCTGGTTAGTAAAACAAAGATTACTCCGAAAGGTAGGGCTAGGGTGGGATTTGCTTTACTTAAACCTTAGGAGCAGAGAGTGGAGGAGGTGTGATTCCAAGGAAACTCGGACTGTTGGAAGATGTCTAATTCAGGCTTTAATGGGTTTGTTTGTTCACTTTTCATGAAATAGTTACTACACCAAACACTAGATATTTCTATCTCCAGCAGAGAAAAGAAGGCGTGCCAATATGGATAAAAGGATAGAATCACTTGTATTTTATTTTCTAATTTGAAAAAATAGTGTCATAATTGTATAATCATTTTTACTTATAGCCAATTTATCTTTTTAATTTGTATACAATGTTTTGTTCCATTTAGACTTTAGCTCTGTATGGTTTGTGGTCACTTAACTTACAGTTTTGTAAAGGTGCTTATATGAATACTTGCTCTTTTTTGTGTGTGTCCCATAGATGAAGAAATGTTTAAAATCCTTAAAGAAGAAGGAAATCAATGTGTAAAGGACAAAAACTATAAAGATGCCCTTAGTAAATACAGTGAATGCTTAAAAATTAACAAGGAATGTGCCATTTATACAAACAGGCAAGTTCTTTGTAACTTTCTATATTTCTTATGTTCATAGTTTTGATGAAAAAATTATAGATAAATTACTTGCCAAAGTTTATTCCCATGATTCTGAGACTCTATATAGCAAATTGTTTTAAGTGAGTGTTTTTTAAAGAGGTGGGGCTATCGGAGAGATTGAAAATGTGATGTGTCTCGGAGCTGGGAGGTCTGACGGGGACTGCGCTAGGTTCCCGCGTGGCCATGGCTGCCCTGGCTGGTGCTGCTTTGATTCTCCGTGGTGTGTGGCCTCGCCGCGGCTCGTGAGGAGGCCTCAGCGCAGTCCTCCAGAGTGGGAGCAGGAATCAGCTGCCTTTCAAACTAGTGTCTTAAGGGCCCCTTTTCTCTTGAAGTGCTAAGGGAAGGGCCCAGCATCTTCTAATGTGTAGTAGGAATGGGCAGATTTTTCCAGAATGCTGCTCAGGTGCCATGTTTAACACATTATGGTAAGAAAGATAGTTAACCTAGAATATGGTGATTTGGGGATTTTTAGGGCATAGATAGAGTCTGCAGTGACAAGGAAGAATAAGGTATGGTTCCTAAAGAATAGGGGCTCAGCATGGGTTCTCCTAGCCATTTCAGAAAAAACTTTTAAACTTAATCTCTCACTGCTTTGTTTTTGTACATGTTTTCCTCTTTTGGCAGCCTTTTTTGTGAAAGATTCTGTCACTGAACCCAACAGGTACTTTTCTGCCCTTCTCCTGTTCAGCCTCGGTGGCCTTGGGCATCACTGGCCACTCAGTTTTTCCTGGAGACCACCTCTCCTCTTGGCTGCGGTGCAGACAGCTCACTTGCCTGGCTCTCCCCTTCTCACTTTTCTTTTTTCTTTCCCTGGTGTTCTCGGGCTTCTAAAGGCATAGATCCCTTGTCTGCTCTAATGTTCTCTGGGCCATTTAATCCTCTCCCCAGCTCCATTTACCACCTTCCAATTATGTCCCCCAAATCTTTGTCTCTGAGCCCCGGACCTGAGCACCTCCCTCCCTTCTGCACTCATGGTGGGTTATCATCCCTGACCTACGCCTCCCTCTCCAGTCTGTCAGCAGCTCAGATGTCCTACCTTCTAAATTCCTCTTGGGCGTGAGCCTTTCTGTCCACCCTCACCGTCAGCCCCTCCTCCAGCTGACACCGGCTCTCCCTGGACGTCTGCAGTGCCCTCCCAGGTATGCCTGCACAGTCATGTTCCCTCTGATTCTCCATGCTGCAGCTGGAGCGATCTTCCTAAAACATGGTGAACAGATCAGCCTCTGCTTAAAAACCCATCACTGGACTACCATTAACCTTGGGATAAAGCTCAGCCTCCTGCCGGGACCTTTCTGATCTGGCCTCCCACTCTCCCAGCCTCATCACCACCATAGCGCTCTTTTCTTAGTCCATCAAGAGCACCGTGTTCTCTGTCACCGTAGGACTTTGCACGTGCTGTGCCCTCCCTACATATTAAATCTCAGCCCAGTACCTTTGCATTGGATAATTCTCAATTTGTACTCTGGGCTTCAACTTAAACGTCACTTCTTCTGGGAAGTCTTCCCTGACTATTCCTCCCCTTGCTTCAGCTCCACCAAATGTGATGAGAGTCTCAGCTCTGTGCTACCAGAGCATCCTCTACAGATTTTATTGTGTTTGCTTCTTTTGACTGTCTCTTCCCCTAGACTGCAGCCTCCTTGAGGGCCGGGACTGTTTTGATTGCGGTTGTATCCCCAGGGCCCTAATTTCAAGTATTGCAAGAAAATGCCATAATTGGAGGAAAATGTTAGGTTTCAATTGCAGCAGCTGTGGTATAGAAACGGACTTATTTATCTATTTTCTGATTTCTGTTAGTTGTCCAAGTTTATAGATATGTTGTTTTTACTTCCATAATGCTGAGTTCCATTACATACCAGAGCCCTCTGTTACTTGAAGCTGGGCCAGTTTGAAGAGGCAAAGCAGGACTGTGACCAGGCGCTTCAGATAGATCTCGGGAATGTGAAGGCATGCTATAGACGAGCTCTTGCTTACAAAGGACTCAAGGTGAGGAAATCTTCGTTTTAATATATAAATGTCAGCTCTGAACAGATCATGTGGTTTTCATGAACGTAAATTGTGGGCTCAAGGAATGGCAGTGACATTATCCTGGGATTTAATCCCAGTTCTGTACTCAGCAGTCCCAAAACCTTGGAAGATGCCTCAGATCTCCCCGGACTATAATGTGGAGCTAGATAATTTCTAAGATTCCTTCCAGCTCAAAAGCGATGATTTATTTCCTGATTTTCTAAGGAGTGTTGTTAGTTATAATAGGTCCACTTTAAAGGACAGGAAGGTTTGTTTGAATTACTGAAGGCCATCATCACCGCCACTGGATTCCTCTAGCAGGGGACTGCGGTTGTCTGTAGGGTGGGAGGGAGGTATCGGAACGGAGAATGTGTTCACCCCATGGACGTTGGTAGAGACATGGCAGAGGCTGGGAAGTTTGTTGTGATTTGGGCTGTAAACTGGCCGGTGGTCAGTGTGAGGCTATAGGATGGCATTCTTCTCTAAGAAAACCACACCATTATTTTCAAGGAGTGTATTGTATAATTACGTTTTTCTTTATGATGATTCTTCTGTGCAGAAAACTTGAGTGAATGTTCACATTTGTAGAAAATAACATGACAAGGAAAAATTAGAACATACTGGGAAATGGCATTTCCTGAAATGGTATTTTTAAAGAATCAAGTTGATTAAGGTTTAATACAATGAAATTCACACATTGTCAGTGTACAGGTCATTGACTTTTTTTTTCCTCTTTAAAGTTTTTTTTAACTGAGATATAATTGACATTTTATATCAGTATCAGGTGTACAACATAGTGATTTGGTATTTGTATATACTGTGAAATTATCACAATATGTGTAGTTCACCACACAGTTACAAATTTTTTGTGTGTGACGAGAACTTTTAAGATTTATTCTCTTAGAGACTCTCCAATATACAATACACGATTACTATCTCGAATCACCATGCTGTTTACATCTCCATGACTTATTTTATAACTGGAATTTTGTACCTTTTGAGGGTCTTCAACCTTTCCCACCCATCCTCCACACCCCAACTCCCACCTTGCCTCTGGAAACCACCATTCTGTTCTTGATGTTTCTGTGAGTTCAGGTGGTGGGTTTTTTTGTTGGTGGTGGTTATTTTGGGTTTTTTGGATTCCACATGTAAGTGAGATCATAAGGTAATTGTCTTTCTCTGTATGACTAATTTTACTTAGCATGATGCCTTCAAAGTCCATCATGTTGTCACAAATGGCGGAACTTCCTTCTTTTTTATGGCTAAATAATATTCCATTGTGTATGGAATATTCCATAATATTCCATTATGGCTAAATAATATTCCAGTAATATTCCTGTGTAGGCATTCCATTCCAAGGATGCCTTCAAAGTCCATCATGTTGTCACAAATGGCAGAACTTCCTTCTTTTTTATGGCTAAATAATATTCCATTCCATAACATTTTCTCTCTCTTCATTCACTGGTGGACACTTAGGTTGCTATTGTAAATAATGCTGCAGTGAGCATGGGAGTATCTTTTCAAGTTAGTGTTTTCGTTTTCTTTGGATAAGTACAGGTTTCTGTCTCAGGTGGCTGAGCAGTACAGTGTGATACGGGAGGGTGTACAGCAGGAGGGAGAGATTTGAGGGAGGAGTGTTGACCTTATTGAGTTTGAGAGAGTTCCTGTAATTCCCTGCCCATCACTGACAGGGAAATATCTAAAAATATATTCCGTAAAACCTAGGTTTTGTTGAGAGAGGGTGGTCATGTTTTTGTGTCCTGTATCAAATGAGTACGACCTGTGTGCACTGAGTGCTCAGGCTTTTCTAGGTCCTAGATCCCCTCAGGCTGCAGTGGAGCCACACCTCCACCCCTGACCAGCGGGGCCATGCAGCTGCCCTCCCTTTCCTCCCCTCCCCCGCCCTTCTAAGTTTGTTATATAGCACACAGATGAACAGGCAAGTGAAGAGGTGTGTAGGACGAGGTCCAGAAATGTCCTGAGCGCAGGAGCTTCTGTCCCCATGGAACTGGGGTGCGTCACCCTCCCAGCATGTGGATGCCCCACTCACCAGCCCAGCAGCTCCACAGCTGCACTGTGTCCTGTATTCACAGTGTGTTCACTGTATTCCCAGGGCCCAGGCGACCTGACCTGACCCCTTTCTTTTGTTAGCAACATACTCATTTGTAAACCTCATGTAAAGATTTCCTAGGTGGTGTGTGGCACCATGAATTAAAAGAGGCTTCCTGAAAATTTACTCAACTGTTTTTGAACTTGATGGATTTGGGTCCGTGAGGTACTCATGATCTGCATGACTCATGAGTTTATATCCAGACCCTTAGAACAGGTTTATCCCATACTGGCTGCCTGGCTCTTTGAACTTGTTTACTTGATTCAAAGTCAGAAGTTGTACCTAATGAAAGACCGGAATTTTATACTTCCTTGGAATGAATTCTAGAAATTGTATTATGATGCAGAAAGATAATCCCAATTTTTAGTAATGCTATCCCACTGGAGTATGAGGCTGGCATCTTTCCTGGTTTGACTTCTTATAACTTGATCTGTATACCCTGTAGTTTACGTGCCAAGTGAATTTAATTTCAGGATCTTCAAAGGCTACCACTGCTTATAAAACGCATCAGAACTCACACCTGGATTGGCTTCCCCTGTGTGACTGGTGAGCAAGTGGCACAGAGGCTCACAGGGAGCTGGGGCCCTGCCTGTGCTTTCTCAGATATTTTGTTCGTTTTCTAGCTTGCTTTATTTTTATTTTTTCTGTGTGCCAGGTTTGAAAAATATAGGGCTTTCCTTAATGTTCAGCTGTTCTTCATAAGAAAAGATAATTGAACATTTTGCTTTTACTTACAATTTATATCTTCTGTCGAGTGCCACTCACGTGCTAGGCCTTGGGAGCATAGAGGTGGTAAGACATAGTGCCTGCCTTAGGGAATTCACAGCCAACCGGGGATGCTATCAGGCCAAAAGTATCAAAAAGAGTAATATCGTCTAAAATAATTGCTGTTATTGGAGTTTAAGCACATTTATTAATAGTAAATGTTATCACAAACACGTGATTATACTTTACCTTTTTTTTTTTTTTGAGGCCTGATAAGGTTATTAGCAACTTTTAACGGCCTCCTTTTTGCTGGAGCCGCACTTTTCTCTCTGTGTGAGCTCTGCTCTGCCCCCCACTCTGCGTGGCTGGCTTCCCTTCAGGTCCTTTGTTCTCTGACACCCGTGTCAAAGGAGACTCCTTCCCCTCGTTAGCATCCGTCTCCATCCTTGCTTCTCTTAATTGCATAAATGACAGTGCACGCTTACTTTATTTATTCATTTGTTCACTTGTTTTCTTACTGTTTCCCCTCATAAGACGTAAGCTTCCACGAGGGCCAGGGCCCCGGCTGTCCTTTCTCCCATGGTGTCCTAGCCCCTGGCCCACGGAGGGGCCGGATCTAGTCTGATGCTGTGTTGACCCGGCACCCCGGCCCCTCCTCTGCCACCGCCTCCCTGCTCCATGGCCATCCCCGTGCCTCCTGCTGTCGGGCCCTCTCTTCACACTTGCCTGCCTCTGTTTAACATTTATCAAAGTGTATTTCTTGCTTTCTTAGGTTTCTTCCAACCGGACAGATTGGTCTTTAGGCACAGTTGTTCCTTGAATGGATGAAAAAAGAGTCATGTCAACTCCTTGCCGGTGGCCTTCTATTCCCAAGGCTGCAGCTCACAAATCTCCATTTTCAGGCCTCTCACTTGAGCTCCACAACCGTCTTATCATTCACCTTCTGCTCATTGCTGCTTGCATCATCTCAAAGATCATGTTTCTATGCCTCAGTTTCCTCATCTTTAAATGGGGACAGTAACAGTATTTATAGGGCTATTGTGGGACTAAAATAAGAATACTTGCAAAATGTTGAGACGGGTAAGAGTTAGCTATTATTACTCCCTCAGCTTGCCCCGCTGCCCCCCCTTCTTGCCTTTCAGTATGATTCCGTGCCTGGAACACCTAGGATGGAAACACAGTGTCATTTGCCTTTTGTAGCAGGTTTTCCAACTGCGCTGTTGTGACAAAGTGCTATGTGGAAATTGTTGTTAATAGCGCTGATGTACTACAGTTTGTAAATAATTTACCTTTTTAAAAAATACGTTAGAGCAGGTTTAAGGTTATCCCTTTTAAACACATCACTCTTGCTCTAGTATGTTGCTGGGTGGAGTGGGAAGGGCCGCGGCATTACAGCTCGTCCCCCAGGAGTGTCACGTAACCACCAGCTTATTTTACCTGTGCTTCAGCGTCCAGTGCATGCTGTTATTATATGTCGTGAGTACTTGAGAGGTGACACGTCATTGGAATTCCTGGCCTCCTCACAGAATTAATTTTGGCTTAATCAAAACACGGGTCTAGTCTGTAGTTCTAGAATGTGGCTTGTCACAGCAGACTGTGATTCTGCGGTGTCCGTCTCTGCCAGCAGGTTCTGTGCAGTGTCTGGTTAAGCGTAGATCCCTTCTCCTTCCCCTCAACCTCTCCAGTGTATTGCCTGACTCTTTATGGAGGAATAAAGGTTGACTCTAGGCTGTTTGAGCAGTAGGCAACCAGAAGGGTGTTACAGAACAGGGCATCATGGTAACAGCTAACACTGGCCCAGCTCTTTCTAAGGCTAAGCCACTCCCATGTTATTTTATTAATGAGCTGATTGCTCGGCACAACCTCGTGAAAACTAGAGTAGAATCTCTTTTCATCCTTACTTTCAAGATGAGAGAACTGAAGCTCAGAAAGCTGAAGTGGGATCTTGCTCAAGCTTTCATTACTAGTAGGTGCTGATGTGAGGCTGTTCGCTCTTTCATCTATTCATTCAGCAGACCACAAATGCCTGTGTGTGCCAGGGACTATGAAAGCTGTGGTGGTACAGAACTTAACTTGCCTTCTAACCCCAGATTCCGTGCTCACTCTTCTGTAGAGGATGGCCACTGTGTTGTGGGCTACAATATTTTAGCCCAAGACTTATCTCATAGGCCTAACTTTACTACTGCGGTACTAATGGAACCCACTACACACACTCTGTGTACTCATCTCACCAATTTCACTCCCACCTGGGCTCATCTGTGCCCCTTCTCCTTTTATGTATGAAAATTATTTTCTCTGCCTTCCTGCTTTCAGAATTATCAGAAAAGTTTAAACGATCTCCATAAAGTTCTCCTACTAGACCCAAATATTATTGAGGCAAAAATGGAACTGGAGGAGGTAACCAGAACCCTGAATGTTCAGGAGAATGCAGCATTATTCAACAAAGAAAAGGAGAGAAGGAAAATTGAGATTGAAGAGGTATGTGTATTTGATTATCTCTGAAAGTACTCTTTTGGAGATCCTATACTCATATGGGATTCTGAGGTCATATTCCTATGACTTTAAAAATTTTCATGTTTTTATTCTGATGATCAATGAAGACATTTTAACAAATTAATGACAAGATTTTTCTTTTGTTGTGACAATTAGCCATTGCATTTCCCAGCTTGGGTCCAAGGACCCTTGGGTGTCTGCATTCTTCCTTTCTGTGCTCCCCTCCCCTGGTACCACCTGGCCTGTGGTTTTATTGCTTCCACTCCAGGTTGCCCTGCGAGCCTGTGGCCGCTGAGCTTTGCTTCCTGGTCGACCCAGGGAACCCTACAGGACTGATTCAATTTCAGTGGTCCTGCACGCCACACCCCATAGAGGGTTCGTGATTGATTTAGACTTTTTTAGTAAACTTGTAAACAAGACCGGCCTCATTAGGGGTCCTGGACTACCCTAGAATCAGACCTACCTTTGTGATTTCAGACAACTCAATGCGTTGTGCTGTAGCCTTTTGTTTTGCCTTTAGTGAAGAATGTCAGCTCTTGGATTCCTGTGTATTCATGAATACTATATCAGCTACCTATCATCTTACATTTCTACTAAGAGTTAGAGGCTAATATGTGAAAGAAGCTAGGGAGTTTTTTCCCTCTAAGGAGGGAAGGAAAAAGCTGTTTTAAGAGAAGTGAAAAATGTAAGTTGACTTCTCTATCAAATGTAACGAAACAAGTAAATGTAAAATTTATCATGAAGAAGAGATATAAAGCTGTTACAGGTCTTCTTCCATGCAGCAGCTTTTACTTGTGGAAAATTATAAAATTTCACTGTCATATTCTCAGTGTCAAAATTTTTTTTAAACTTTAAAAATGAATGCTTTTATGAATGGATACTTTAAAAGTTCTCTTCCTAAAAAAAAAGATTTTATGATTATTACAAGTTATATATTTTTCACTTAGAACGACTAAACTACAGTCCACTTGTGTTTTTCAGTTCCTTCCCGTTTTTTGTTTTTTTTTTTTTTTTTTTTTTTGCGGTACGTGGGCCTCTCACTGTTGTGGCCTCTCCTGCTGCGGAGCACAGGCTCCGGACGTGCAGGCTCAGTGGCCATGGCTCACAGGCCTAGCTGCTCCGCGGCATGTGGGATCCTCCCGGACCGGGGCACGAACCCGTGTCTCCTGCATCGGCAGGTGGAGTCTCAACCACTGCGCCACCAGGGAAGCCCCCTTCCCGTTTTAATGAAGGTAACTTGGGGTGTGTGCAGTGGCCGTTGTGTCACAGTGTAATCTGTCTCCCCCTGAAGGTGAATGAAGGCCAGAAAGAGGAGCCTGAAAGGACCTCGGAGGACGTCTCCACTGACTCCCATGCTTCTGAGACGGGGGACACAAGCAACGGGCCACGAGAATTCTATGAGAAACTACCAATCCCCAAACCTAACAATGCCTACGAATTTGGCCAGGTTATAAACGCAGTCAGTACTAGGAAAGATAAAGAAGCCTGTGCACACCTGTTAGCCATCACTGAACCGAAAGACTTGCCAGTGTTGTTGAGCAACAAACTTGAAGGGGATACATTCCTGCTCCTCATCCAGTCTCTGAAAAATAATCTTATTGATAAAGATCCTTCTTTGGTATATCAGCATCTTTTATATCTGAGTAAAGCAGAAAGGTTTAAAGTAAGTGTCAAACTATGTTATTCATGGAGATTGATTTTTTTAGGGTTTTTATAACAACTTTAAAATGCCAGTTTGTATGCTAATATAATTTTTCTCCTTCTTTCAGATGATGTTGACACTGATTAGCAAGGGCCAAAAGGAGCAGATTAAACAGCTCTTTGATGACCTCTCAGACACACCAAACAAACATTTTACTTTAGAAGACGTGCAGGCCCTCAAAAGGCAGTATGAGCTTTAAATAAAGATTATTGTTAGATTTCTTCCATGCATATATGTGTCCCAGTAATGCTAATGAGATGGTATTGTAATAGAGTTGCATGGATAAAACCTGGCTTAGAAAAGATCCCTTGGTCTGGACTATAAACTATTTTACTTATTTTTATACATAGAACACATATATTCTACAATCTGCTTTTTATTAGTTGTAAATATTTTCTTATGTACCAGAGCTAACATCTTTATATTTAATAATAAGTATATCTGGAACTCGTTAAGATGCATTTTAGTTTATATTATACATTTTCTTTTAATAACTGACTTGTTAAAATTTTGAGTTAAATTACACTTCTTTGGGTATGAAGGAGTCCTGTTAAGTTTGATAGAAATGTATTTCTTTACAGTTCATTTTTAAAAGTGAAAATCATTAAGTGATTATTACATCACTTTTATTTCCTGCTAAGATATATATATATCCCATTTTATACTACTTGTGGATTACAGGCCTCTAAGATGAAATGTAACACTTAAGTCTATAATATGAAATGATTATTAAATAAATTGTGATTATTAATTTAGAGCTATAAGAGGAACTTATTTTTTTCTAATATGGAAGCATTACCTAATAATTAAGAACAAAAATTGCCTGAAATTTTACTACTTTTTACTAGATTTTTAAAGGCAAGTTTCCCTTATGTGTTGCTTATATAAGCAATAACGAAACAACCACTATATAAAAGCAACTAAGCCTGCATTTCTATTTGAATTGTCACTCCCACACTTCCCCCAAACATTTTAAATGACTTCTCCCTCTTTTTTTCTTTTTTTCCCCCCTCCTTTAAGCATAATCATATTTATTCCCTTCCTGCAAAAGGGAAAGTGAAGAACTCTTTATATTGAGAGCTCCCTTGTTAACTGGGTCAGAGTAAAGGTGTTTCTTACGATAAAACCTTCAGGTCTCTATCAGTGTGCTGTCATTTATTCCTGTAGTCTTTGGTCAGGTTTCTTCTTCTGAAGCATTTTCTTGCTCTTTAGAAGGGCAGATGAAAGATGACTATCACATTCATTATTACCATATCCATTATTATCTAATATTTAATAATTAAAGAATATTTAAAGTATTGTGGGTAAATGGTTTCAAACTGTGCCATTTTTTAAAAAAACTATTCTTTCCTAAGCTCATAAATGAAAATCTGCTGTGATGGGTATTTAACTCTAGTCTTCAAGCAAATGAACAAAACAGTCTTCTCCTTTTGAATGATACTAAGTTTCTGTGCAAGTACATGATGGAGTGTGTTAGTAACTTTACAGTAGAAACATAAAAAGGAAACGTTCTCTTTTGTTGACAGTTACATACCCAGTACTAGCTGCATGGGGCAGCCTCTCCCGTGGAGGAGGTGGTAAGCAGTGAGCAAGTGCCGGGCTGTCCCAACTGTTGGGTTCACACCTGGAGAAACTTGTTTCTCCCCAGCCGGAGTCCTGAGGGAGGACCTCCATGACTGAAGGAAGGGAAGAGAAAGTGAAGGAAGCAGATAAGAATATCAAGGGCATTAAAGGAGCACAGTTCCTGCAGACAGCTTCAGGACTTCAGCAGGAAGTCTGCCCACAAGCCTCTGGGAGTACCCTACTTAGGGATCTCCCCACTGGGTCCGTGGGCATCCCCAACACCCCAAGTGCTAAACCCACACCTCCTGCCATTCTGTGACCAGATCCTTCTGCATGCTCCTGAGTGCTGCAGCAGTGAGAGCAGGCGCAGTAGTTGGAGTATTCTCAGAAGGATGGACCAGAGTCTGTGGGTAAGGGAGAAATTGCAACTGGAGCTATAACACCACCTTCTGGAAGACAAAAGAGAGGTTTCCAGCAGCCGGTCTGATGAATTCTAAGAATAAGGAGAAACATAAAAGGTTAAGGATTCTGCCACAAGGCAGAACAAGAAGAGTGGAGCGGGTCTACCCATTCAGAAACTGAGGAAACCCCTCATATAGCAACACCAATGATTAGTATCCCAACTAAAGGCAACCAGTAAAGATTTAAGGAGGTGCCTGCTACTTCAAATGCAAAAACAGCAACACAAAAATACAAGGAACATGAAAAATCAAAATATGTCACCTCCAAAAGATACCAGTAATCCTCCAACAATCGAGCTCAAAGCGACAGAATACTCTGATGTAGCTGATAAAGAGATCAGAATAGCTGTTCTGAAGAAACTCTTCTGAAGAAGCTGTTCTGAGGTGAGCTACAAGAAAACTCAGAAAGACAGCTTCATGACAATAGGAAGGAAAATACGTGAACAAAATTAACTCTTTACCAAAAAATAACAAAAAAGAACTAAACAGAAATTCTGGTGAATGAGATGAAGAATGCACTGGAGAGCCTCTGCAGTAGCTCAGAGCAGATGGAAGACAGAATAAATGACTTAGGGGATGAGAATTTTGAAATAAATCAGAATAAAAAAGAGCAAAGAAAGCATGCATGCTCTATGGGACTTGAGACAGAGAGCAAATATCAATACTAGAAGAATTGGGGATCCAGAGGGAGAAGGAGACAGAAAGTTTACTTAAATAATAGCTGAAAACTTCCCAAATCTGGGGAGACTTGGACATCCAAATTCACAAAGCTAATAGATCACCCTGTTATCTAAATGTGAAAATACCTTCTCCAAGACACGTTGTAATGAAACTACCAAAAATCAAAGATAAAGAGTTCTAAAGGCAGCCAGGGGGGAAAAAAAAGTGTAACCTACGAAGGTACATCCATTGGGCTATCAACAGGTTTCTCACCAAAACCCCTGCAGGCTAGGAGAGAGTGGGATTACATATTCAGAGCATTGAAAGATTAAAAACTCCCAGCCAAGAATATTCTATCTAGCAAAGTTATTCTTCAGATATGAAGGAAAAATAAAGACACTCTCAAGACAAACAAAAGCTGAGGGAGTTTCTCACCATTAGACCTGCCTTGCAAGAAATGTTGAAAGGAGTTCTTCAAGCTGACATGAAAAGAGGCTCATCAATGACATGAAAACACCTTTATACCTGTAAAGGTGAAAAATACATGCTCAAATTTAGAAAATTCTAATTCTATAATAAGACGGTGTATTAGCCACCAATTACAGATAAAGGTTAAAAGAAAAGAGTATTAAAAGTAACTATAGCTACTATAATTAAATATACAACATAAAAAGATAGATTGTGACATCAAAAATGTAAAAGGGGGGCTAGTGAAGGGAGGAGTCTTCATAGGTGAATGAAGGTGCTGTCAGTGTAAAATGGACTGTTTCATCTATGAGCTGTTTTAGCTAAGCCTCATGGTAACCACAAAGCAAAAGTATAGGGCAGATTCATGAAAGATTTCAGAAAGGGAAAACAGCATATCACCATGGAAAATCACCAGTTTACCAAGATGAAACAAAAGGAAAAAGAAACATAAGGAAAAAACAAAAACAAAGGGGAAAGAAACAATGGAAATAGAAACCAGAAAGCAATCAATAAGATGGCAATAGTAAGTCCGTACATATCAATAATTACTCTGAATGTATGGATTGAATTCAGTTAAAAGGCACAGAGTGGCTGGATTGATTAAAAAAACAAGACCCAACTATATGTTTCCTTCAGGAGACTCACTTCAGCTTTAAAGACACACAGGCTCAAAATGAAGGGATGGAAGAAGATATTCCATGCAAGTGGAAACCACAAAAAGTGGGGATAACCATACTAATATCAGACAAAATAGACCTTAAGCCAAAAACAATAACAAGAAGCAAAGAAAGTCATTATGTAATGATAAAGGGGGTCAGTAAGCAAGAATTTATAACAATCATAAAGATGTATGGGCTCAACGTAGGAACAACTAAATACATGACTAAGTGGGATTTATCCTTGGGATACAAGAATGGTTCAACACATGTGAGTTAATAAATCTAATATACCATATTAACAGAATGAAAGAAATAAATCACATGATGATCTCAATAGATGCAGAAAAAAGCATATAGCAAAATGCAACATCCTTTCATGATAAAAACCTGCAACAGATTGGATATGGAAGAAACATAACCTCAACATAATATAGGCCATACGTGACAAGCCCACAGCAAACATACTCAAGAGTGAAAAATTGAAAGCTTTTCCTCTAAGGAACAAGGATGCACACTCTCACCATTCTTATTCAATACTAGTATCATTAGTTCTCACTAGAGCAACTAGGCAAGACAAAGAAAAGGCATCCAAATAGGAAAGGAAGAAGTAAAATTTTCATTATTTGCAGATAGATGATATGATTTTATATATAGTCAGCCCTCTGTATCCATGGCTTGATTTCTGGGGTTGATTGAATCTACAGATTTAGAATCCATGAGAGGTTTATATAAGGGACTTGTGCATCTGTGAATTTTGGTACTGGTGGGGATTCCAGAAACCAGTCCCCCACAGATACCAAGGGATGACCATATAGAAAATCCCAAAGTCTCAACCAAAAAAACTCTTAGAACTAATCAACAAATTTAGTAAATTTGCAGGATACAAAATCATCATACAGAGATCAGTTGGATTTCTGTACACTAACAATGAAACACCTGAAAAATAAAACTATCCCACTCACAATAGCATCAAAAGCAAAATACCAGGAATAAATTTACTCAAGGAAATGAAGGATCTGTACAACAAAAACTACAAGACTTTGTTTAAAGAAATAAAGATGATGGGCTTCCCTGGTGGCTGCAGGGGACACGGGTTCGAGCCCTGGTCTGGGAAGATCCCACATGCTGTGGAGCAACTAAGCCCATGTGCCACAACTACTGAGCCTGTGCTCTAGAGCCCGCGAGCCACAACTACTGAGCCTAAAGCCCATGTTCTGCAACAAGAGAGGCCACCACAAAGAGAAGCCTGCGCACCACAACGAAGAGTAGCCCCTGCTCACTGCAACTAAATAAAACCTGTGCACAGCAACAAAGACCCAACACAGCCCAAAATAATTTTAAAAAAAGGAAATCAAAGATGACTTAAACAAATGGAAAGATACCCCACACTCATGAATTGGAATAATTAATATTGTTAAAATGTCCATATTACCCAAAGCCATCTATAGATTCAGTGCAATCCCTATCAAAATTCAAATGGCATTTTTGACAGAAATAGAAAAAGAAATCCTAAAAATTTGTATGGAGCCACAAAAGACCCCTATAACCAAAGCAATTATGAGAGAGAAGAGCAAAGCTGGAGGCATCACACTTTCTGACTTCAAACTATACAATAAACCACAATAATTAAAACAGTATGGTACTGGCATAAAAATAGACACAGACCAATGGAACAGAATAGAGACCCCAGAATTAAACCTCCACATATATGCCAACTAATATTAGACAAGGGAACCATAAACACCCAATGGGGAAAGGGTAGTCTCTTCAACAAATGGTATTGGGAAAACTGGGTAAACAAATGCAGAAAAAAGAAATTGGACTCCTCTTACACCACTCAGAAAAATTAACTAAAAATAGATCAAGGACTTATAAGACCTGATACTTTAAAGTGCCCATCAACTGATGAATAGATAAAGAAGATATGGAATATATATACTCAAAGGAATATTATTCAGCTATGAGAATGAAGGAAATCCTGTCATTTGTGACAACATGGATGGACCTTGAGGGTATTATACTAAGTGACATAAGTCAGAGACAAATACTGTGTGATACCACCTATATGTGGAATCTTAAAGCTGAATTCATAAAAACAGTGTAAAATGGTGCATATCAGGGGGTTAGGGGTGGGGGAATAGAAGAGATGTTGTTTAAGGGTCCAAACTAACAACTAGTAGATAAATAAGTCCTGGAGATCTAACACAGCATAGTGATTATAGATAACAATATTGTATTATAAACATCAAACTTGCTAAGAGACTAGACCTTAATTAGTCCCACCACAAAGAAGAAATGATAATTATGTGATGTGATAAAAGTGCTAGCAGTACCACAGCAATCATACTGTAGTATAGAAATGTATCAAGTAACATGTAGTACACCGTAAACTTATACAATGTTATATGTCAAATATATTTCAATGTAAAAATAATTGCAGGTGATTTTTTTTTTAGCTTCACTTTGTGCCAGGCACTGTGCCTAGTTTATCATACATTGTCTAGTTTAATCCTAATAACAACTCTGTTACAGATGAGGAAACCATGGCACAGAGAAAATTAAAAACAGAAAATTTAAGTTAAATTAAATCCTTATGAATTAACAAGGATTACAAATGCAGCAAATGGCCAGTCCAAGATTCAAACCTGGGCAGTCTTTCTTTTGAACTCATATGCGCTGTGCTGTGTAAAGGAAAATTTTAAATATATGAATGGAATAATGAGTAAGGTGCCTGGCCTTTAAGAATTACAGCTTAGTAGAGGCAATGGATATGTAAATTTACCAACTTTGGTACCCCAATAGAGGTATTTAGGGTGATTATGCAGGGCAAGAGGAGTGCCCAGCCCTGCCGTGAGAAGGTTAGGAAAGGTTTCAAGGAGTTAATGTTGCAGCTTGAGTTTGCCATTTGGATGCGAGAAAACAATGTGCCAGGCAGAGGAGACACAAAGGCATCAAGATGCATAGTGATGGTGCGTGTTGAATGAAAGGGTGAAATATCTGGACCTGTTTGGGGAACTGCATTTCACCTTAGTACTAGTAGAGCCTAAGCTTTGTGTGATAAAGCCTGAAGGAATTATAATTGGATATAGCTGCATGCTGCACATGAAATGGTAGTGATATCAGAGTTTTAATTATACAATTTAATTAATTATACAAATAGTTTAATTATACAAATAGTTCTTTTCCTAGTCAGGCATTACCACTCTTAACCAGTACCTGGTTTTCTTCCCCTTCTGGGGAAGCGAGTGAGGCTTCACTGCTGCTCCCCACCGATCCCCGTCACTCGCACTCAGCACACCTGGCTCATCCTCTCCGTTCGCTCACGTTACCACCGAACCAGCCCCGTCGGTGGAAAAACTGTCTTCCACGAAACGGGTCCCTGGTGCCAAGAAAGTTGGGGACTGCTGGGGTACAGGTAAAAGCTGTCCGTCACTTCTGGGCCAGAGTATGCACGAGCTGGCACAAAGCCCTCACACAGCCTTTTCCCTCGCTGCAGTGACTGAGAAGGCCTCATGTTCCAGTCAGTGGGTCACAAGATGATGACCCCTCCAACAGCCTGGTGCTTTGAGTGTGGGCCTGAAGCAGAGGCCTGCTAATCTGCCCTGGACGGAGAGCCTAAACAGGAAAGAAGCTTTTTTGTGTTGGGCCACTGAGATTTTGGATTGTTTGTAATTATATCCAAAGACTTAACCTCTCACAGTCTGTTTCTGTATCTCTTCCACCTTAAGTCCTTAAATCTTTCATGAGTTCCTGGCCTGTAAAGCCAACTTCAAATGGTTCATCTCCACCTAGATGTCTCATTACTACAAATGTAATGTCCCCAAACTAAACTCTGTTCCCTCAAACTTAGGCTTCACTTGTGTAGTGAAAGTTACCAGCATTCATACACTGGCCTCGGCCAGGAACTTTGGCTTCATCCTAGACTTTCCTTGCTCTCTCAAACTCCACATCCAATACTTCATCCAGGCAACTTGTTTCATTACCCAGTATGGCGCACTCACTCAACACTGTCTGCTTTCAGGGCTTCCCTGGTGGCACAGTGGTTAAGAATCCGCCTGCCAATGCAGGGGACACTGGTTCAAGCCCCAGTCCGGGAAGATCCCACATGCCGCGGAGCAACTAAGCCCGTGCACCGCAACTATTGAACCCGCGAGCCACAACTACTGAGCCCACGTGCCACAACTGCTGAAGCCCACGCGCCTAGAGCCTGTGCTCCACAGCAAGAGAAGCCACCACAATGAGAAGCCTGCGCACCACAACAAAGAGTAGCCCCCGCTCGCCGCAACTAGAGAAAGCCCACATGCAGTAACAAAGACCCAACGCAGCCAAAAATAAATAAATAAAATAAATAAATAAACAAAACAAAAAAACACTGACTGCTTTCGCACGGAATGTTTCCCTGCTCCCGATGCTCTTCTCTCTTCCTTCCCTCCAGAAAAAACCAAAAGAGTGAATTCTTAGTCATCTTTTAAAATCCAGTTCAAATGGATTTTAAAATCCAGAGGGTTTTCCTCACCTCCCTTGGCTGAGTTAGATGATCTGTCTTTGTTTCCTCATGGTGCCATGTGCACAGCTCTATCATAGCTCTAAGCACTGCTGCGGTGTTCTGAGTTGACTTGTCTATGACAGAAAATGTCTCGTTTAGTTCTGTTCCCTACCTTGATGAGCAAAATGCCTGACACAGTAGAGACTCAATAAATCTGCATGGAATGAATGAGAAGCATTGCTAACTTTATCATTATATGTTAGGGTACATATATTAAATTATTTCAGCAGGATGTTTGCACTTGTTATATCTGATGGGTTGCTGTAAATCATGCATCCAGAAGTAGAAAAGTGTCAAAGTAATTATTAGAGTGAGGGTGATTTATCATCAAAGTTTAAACTCATGCCTTAGGGACCTTTTTAAGCAGTTTCTAGACTAGGAGTGAAGGACAAAATAGTAAAACAGAGAAGGAGAGAAAAAAAAAGAAAACACAGGCTCTGAAAACTATACATGACAATATATCTGAGCAAATCATAATCATTAAGTTTGCATATTTTTAAATGATTAGTAGATACTGTCTCGCTGACAATCATGTTTGTTGTGGAATAACCTATGAAAATACCTTTTAAGCTATACACGACACAAGAGACTATCATTATTTCTGGTTCATGGACAATATGAAAGCTCCCTCTGTAAAGAACCTGAGTCTAGGATTCTACGTCTCCTGACTATGGCCCATCAGTTAATGTCCACTCTCTGCAGTTGCTACCACATGATCCCATGGTCCACTGCCCTGGCTGCCCTCAGCCTCCTGACCTTAGCAGAAATAACTGAGGCCATCCCATATGACTGCTCCAATCAGCTTCCCTTCCTCTTGGCTTATGACCAAATGTTCCCTGCTCCTTCTCTCTCTCCCAGAAAGCAGTATTCCTCTCCTTCCTAATGCTGATCCTTGATCCCACCCCCAAGAATAACACCTCTTTTGCATCTGCAATATGTCCCTTTCTATTACTGTCCCCACTCTAGCCTACAAACTGACTCAACTCTTCCCACCTAAAGAAGAGTCCCTCTTTCAACATCCAAGCTTCCATCCTTTTCTACACCATCCTGTTTTCAAAAATAGATAATTTTCTCCATTTTCCCCACCTCCCAAATTTCCTGTTTTGAAAGAAATTTGGCTTCTACCTCCCATCACTATTGAAACTGCTCTCAACCACCTGGATCAAATCCAGAAGGCTTTTCTTAGTCATAGAATTGTGTTACACTCTTGTAGCCTAAAGAAATTTTTTAGAGATAGTCTCACCTAAAGCTAATCCCTTTATTTATACTGAAGCCCAAATAAGAACACAACAAAATATTGTATAGTATGAAACGCTGAGAAGTGGTGACTGCGTTGGTTTTGCCCTTTTGCTGAGATTTGTGGGCAAAGGAGGTGAAACTGAAAGGTGAAGAAGCAAAGCTGTAAGGGCAGCTATAATACCGAATCTAAACTGGCTATTATACTTCTGAATTGCCCAGAATGAGTGCTAATCTATTTAGGCATATGCAGAGAGTACCTCCTTCATGAGCAAGATATCAAGATTAATCATGAGTTATAGCAAAACTTACATTAGAGTGAGTTCAAAGATAGTTTATTATACTTGCCTTTCTATTATTTCATGGGTTTGCTATCTAGAAACAGGATGAAGCAAAGCGGGTTCATTAGGAATTTGTTTTACTCTATTAGCCAGTTGGCACCACCCAGACCAAAAGGACCCCTAAGGACTGATGTGGAAGTCATGGGCTGCTGCCTCTCTCAATTCCCCACACGAGAGACGTCTGTTAGTGCGAAATCTGTCTCCAGAATACAATGCATTTCGTCAAGTTTATCAGTTTTGATACCTTTTGCCAAAAATCAAATAAAAGAGATGGTTGAAGGTTAATTAATAAAGATCAGTGAAAAAGCAGCAGGAGACAGAGCTGCCCCTTCTTTTTTTCTGGGAAACTGCTTTAGTGCATAGACTTTGGCATTAGATAAACCTAGAATTAAATCCCAACCCAGGATTTAATTGATACTCAGGAGCTGTATAACCTTGAAGACTTTAGATTCCTCATCTGCAAAATGAGGAGGGATACCTTCCTACCACTCAGGGTTGTAGGATTATGTAGTTCTTGTAAAATGCCTGGTGTTACTTCATAAGTTCCTTATCTTACCTTCTATGTATAGAACTCCTTTCTTCCCATAAGTATAATGATCTCATCTATATTGTTAGAAAAGGATAATAAAGCTATTTTCAAATATTAGGGACACCTTTATATTTACTTACTGGGTAAGTCACACACATTAAGACCACGCCAATAGAAATGGGATAGCCAGAGAAGTGGTCTGGTGCCATCTCCTGGAAATCAGTCATGTCACAACAGCCAAGAGATGACTCCACATGTTGAGTTTAACAACCTATTTGTAAGAGCGTGTGTCTTTTCCAACCTGTCACTGTTTTGAGAGTGAGCCAACACAGATGTATATTCAGAGTCTGGCATAGGTTGGTAGGTGCTTAGCAAATGTTGAATGAATGAATCTAAAAGAACGCTGCCCTAAAAGGTACCCTGGTTTCCAAAATTCAGATTAGAGAAGTTCCTATTACTGAGAACTCTACAGTGACACTCTAAATATTTCTCAAACAGTAGTTCTTGGAATATTTGCATCAGAATCACTTGGAAATCTTAGAGTCCAGGGGTTGGGAATCTAAATTTTAAAATATTTCTTGTGATTCTTAGGCAAGTTGGAATATACACCCACTGTCCTAGAAGCTGAGTGTGTAATAACTAATTAATATCTGAGTTGCATAAGCATCTAAGTGAACTAAACTATTTATGACCCTCTGAATAAAGTATTGTAGGGGATAAATAAAAAGATAGCTCCTGCTTTTAATGAGCTTATGACTAATTTGGAAGAAACGGAAAATAAAACCAAGTTCAAGAGACTCTAGTAGGAAAAAAAAAAAGCATCAATATAACGTTCAAGTGTCAAAGTTATTAAAAGGGCCAAAGTTAATCAAGAACATTTTCAGGAAGAGGTAAAATCTAAGCCATATTTTTAAATTGACTTGCGTTGATGAGAAGAAAGAGCTCAGTCTGATTGAATTACTTTACTGTAGAATTTCCAGTGTCACAGTGCACTGGAAACTTAGTTTGAAACTCTGCCACTGTCGGCATGCTTCACTGCGAAGTGGTCAGAAACCAGTCAGGATACTTACAAACCAAACTCGGTTTTCTATTTTTCTTATTTTATATGTGAACTATATCTCAATTTTTAAAATTGAGGGGGGAAAAAAGCAAACCATCCAATTCAGACAACAACTTAGGGTCAAATTCCAATCATTTCAAACAGGTCACCCCCTTTAAGTGTGTCACCCCTTTAAGCATGGCCACTCCTTTAATTTATCAGAAGGAATAAAAGCTATGGATGTGTGAAAGACTAAATACTTCCATGCTACAATGGGAAACGAGCATGTCTAGTCTTAACCATTCCCATTTAATAATGTATTGGAGGTTGAAGCCGGTAAAAGAAGGAACAAAAGAAAAGTTACTAAAGACTTCCAGACTGGAAAGGAAGAAATAAAGCTGTCTTTATTTGTAGACATGATCGTCTGTGTAGAAGAATCCTAGAGAATCTGCCAAAAAATTATTAGAATTAATAAATGACTTAGAAGTTTGTAGGATTTCCAGATCAACCTACAAAAATTGTATTGCTATACAGGCAACCTTGGAGATATTGCAGGTTTATTGTGAATATCACAATAAAGTGAGTCATATGAATTTCTGGGTTTTCCAGTGCATATGAAAGTTACATTTATACTATACTGTAGTCTATTAGGTATGCAGTAGCATTATGTCTAAAAAATTGTATGCACCGTAATTAATAAATACTCCATCGATGGGCTTCCCTGGTGGCGCAGTGGTTAAGAGTCCTGCTGCCAATGCAGGGGACACGGGTTCGAGCCCTGGCCCGGGCAGATCCCACGTGCCACGGAGCGACTAAGCCCGTGCGCCACAACTACTGAAGCCCAAGCGCCGTGCTCCGCAATAAGAGAAGCCAATGCAATGAGAAGCCCTCGCACCGCAACGAAGACCCAACGCAGCCAAAAATAAAAATAAGTTAAAAAAAAATAGTCCATTGCTAAAAAATGCTAACCATCATCTGCCACAAAACTTCAGTTTATTAAAACACCATATCTTCAAAGCACAATAAAGCAAAGTGCAATAAAACAAGGTATGTCTGTATACTATTAATGAAAAATCAGAAATTGAGATTTTTAAAAAAAATCTACAAAAACAGTTTCTGAAAACTACAAAACACTGTTTAAAGAAATTTAAAACACTAAATGGATAGATACAATGTATTCATGGATCAGAAGAGTCAATATCATTAAGATGCTAATTTTCCCCCAACTGATCTATAGATTCAATTGAATCACAATAAAAATCCCGGCAGGCTTTTTTGTAGAAATCTAGGAATTCCAGTAAAAAAACAGTATTCAGATCACAGGGAAAGGATAGATTATATAACAGTGTCATCACAAACAGCTTTCTAAACGGAAGAAAATAAGATTGGACCTCCATATTACATACTAAACATAAATTCAATACAGATTAAAGCAAAGGTAAAAAATTAAATAACAATCTCTCAAGAAACCTAGGAGACTAAGTATCATTTAGGAGCAGGGGAGACCTTAACCACGATTAGAGGCCTGAAATATACCATTAGACACATGTGAAAATTAGAGCTTTCATACGGCAAAATAATATATATGAGTAAAGAGTGTATGGGGAGCCTCTGAATTATCTTTGCAACTCTTCTTTAAGTTTAAAAATATTATAGGGCTTCCCTGGTGGCGCAGTGGTTAAGAATCCACCTGCCAATGCAGGGGGCATGGGTTCGAGCCCTGGTCAGGGAAGATCCCACATGCCGTGGAACAACTAAGCCCATGCGCCACAACTACTGAGCCTGCGCTCTGGAGCCCGTAAGCCACAACTACTGAGCCCACGTGCCACAACTAATGAAGCCCGCAGACCTAGAGCCTGTGCTCCACAACAAGGAAGCCTGCGCACCGCAACGAAAGAGTAGCCCCCTAAAGCAGAAACTAACACACCATTGTAAAGCAATTATACTCCAATAAAGATGTTAAAAAAAAAGAGTAGCCCCCACTCACCGCAACTAGAGAAAGCCTGCACACAGCAACGAAGACCCAACGCAGCCAAAAAAAAAAAAAAAAAATTCTAAATAAAGTTGAAGAAAAAAGTGCACAGCAAGAAAAGTTAAAGTCAATAATCAAATACTAGATTTAGAGAAAAATATAATAAAAATATAACTTAATAGTAATATATATAATATATAGCTATTATGATAGCTATTATATATAATAAAGATATCTTTTAAACTGACAAGGAGAAAACAACTCAAAAAATATAGGCAAAAAATATTAAAGTCGATTTAGAGAACAGCAAATCAAATACCATCATTTCCCTCCCCTCATAAAAAAGAAAACCACACAAAAAGATGTACAAATTCACTCATAGGGATATGAAAAATCAAGTAGTAGGTATTACTTTATACCAAACAGCCTTGCAAAAACTATAAAGCTCCTAATATCTATTGTCGGTGGAATACAGGGGAAAGAGGATTCGTGTATTGTTAGTGGAATTGGAAATTGTGACAACCTTTTTGGGAAGGCAATCTGATAATCTTATTAAAGTTAAAAATACATATACTTTTCAATGTAGCTATTTGATTTCCATGAATCCATCTCCCATACTCCAAACCACCAGAAAACAAGGACTTATGTATGAGGATGTTTCTTGCAGTGTTCGTAGAGAGGAAAACAAAACAAAAGAGACACAAAGTGAATACCCATAACATGCAGCCATCAAAACGAATGAACTGGAGCTATATCACGTGACTCAGACTGATTTCTGAGATATTGAGAAAATCGCGACAATAATCAATAGATATTGAGAAAATCGCGACAATAATCAATACATATATGCACTGTGTAAGATTATATGAATGTAGAGAAAGCTATGCTATCACACATACTTGGTCATTTTCAGTGGTTATGGGGGAAGGTAATGTGGGAAGAAGGGTAGAGAAGGGAAAGGGGGAGCAAAGAAAAAAGAGGAAAAAGGGGGACGGGGAAAGAAAGTCTTCTGTGCACAGTTTATTTAAACTCTCAGTAGTACTTGTCTCTAAAACATCAGTTTGCACATTACCTCTAAAGCAACGATGATTCTTTATTTAGCTGAACGTATTACATTTTCCTTAAACAGAAAAAAAAGCCCCCGGAAACAAAAGTAAAATGCCTTGGCTATTCCAACCCTGAAAAAAGATGTTCCAGTGGCTGTCATACATCCTAGAATATTAATGAATTAACCTATTTGGCATAAAACCTTGTTAAAAGTTTCAGCCACTGTCTTGTTTCAAAACTTATTCTAGTGGACAATTAATGAAGTGATTGGTCACCAACTCTGAGGCCTTGGTCCACAAATATTCTCATGTCTTTGCTCAGTTGTTCTGTCCCATCATAGCAAGCTTATCCTCAATTCCCTCTCCGTAGATGAAGTACTTATTAAGCGCACACATAGGAAAAAGTAAAGATATGGTTCTTGCCCCCGAGAGCCTACAGTTTCTTTCTTTTTAAGGTTTCTGGTTTCCTAGTATCCTGAATTCAGAATTTGGAGGCACCTGGTACACATGGGGTTGTGAAATATCTACGTTTTACCTCCTTCATGCAGGCCAAAAGGTAGCAGAAATAGGTGCTCCAACATTATTAGGCAAAAAGCTGCAAAGAAAAACAATAAAAGCAGGAATATGTCAGCACCAGACAACCAGCAAATTGCCACACTCTAGGATTAGCAAACTCTGTGTTCACAGAGGAAAGAGCTTGCCACACCTTGCTGCTCCTATTATGTAAATGAAAAGGAATTGCTTACTAACCCTGAAAATGTGGACCTCCGTGGTATAAAAAAAAAAAATTCAGAAGGTCCAGACAGCCTCAGTAACAATTTCTACCAAACATTCAAGGAAGACATAATTCCAGTCTTACATACTCTGATACTGAAGTTTATCCCAGGAGGTTAGTTTAACATTTAAAGAATCAAATTCACTATGTTAACACATTAAAGGAATAAATCACAATTACATGATAGATGACCCTCCCCCCAAAATAGCAGCCAATAAAATTCAGCATATTTCCCAAGGTAAACATTCTTGGCAAACTAAGAGTTAGAAAAGAATTTAATAATTTTGATAAAGGGTATCTACAAATATATCTACAAATATAACTGAAATATAAATATCGTAATTAATAGTTGAAATGTTGAAAGGGTTCCCTTTGAGATTATTAACGAGTTAACAATGCCCCCAAAACCACTGCTATTCAGCATTATGCACTTGAAGTCCTAGCCAGTCCAAATGGGCCAGAAAAAGAAATATATGATGCAGCGATCAAAGAGAAATATTTGAATCCCTGTTCTGCCATTAACCAGCAATGTAATTCTGGGCAAAATGCTAACCCTCTCAGTTTCCTCATCTGTAAAATGGGGATAATGAGTACCTCCTTCACAGGGTTGTTCTAAAGAGTAAACGAGAATATTTTAAAAGTACATAGAAAGTGTTTGACACTACAAAGCACTGTAAAAGTGTTTGTTAAATAAAAAAATAATTATTCACAGATGACGACGTGTATAGAGAAATCTCAAAGAATCTAGAGGTAAACTCTTGGAATTAAGAGTACTGTTCCCTAGATGCAAAATCATTACATAAAAATTAGCCACATTTCTATATACTAACAAACAGAAAATGATACCTAAAAAATCAAGTACCCGGGAATAAAACTTAAAAAAAGATGTGAAAGATCTCTAGAGGAATAAGTATAGGTTCAATGCAATCCCAACCAAAATTGATAGAATGCAACAAGGTTATTCTAAAATGTTTATGGAAATGTAAAGTGCTAAGAACAGTCAAGACACTCTCCAAGAAAAAAAAGGTGGCCAACATATTTCTAGATATCAAACAAATTCCAAGACGGACGTCTAACTCGTCCATTAACTCACCTGGGGGAAGATCTCTTTCTGGAATGCTCATCCAATAGGTATGTCTTCATAGTTCCTCCCTCACTTCCTTTAGATCTTTGTACCAATGGCACCTAAGAAGACATCTTTCCAGTTTTCCCTGTATAAAACAGCACTACCCAATACTTCTGGTCACTTTTCCCCCCATCCCATATTTTCATAGCATCCATTATTTTAAGGTATGTGTATATGTTTTATTTATGTCACTCGCTTGACTATAAGCTTGCTGAAACCAGAGAATGTTTATTTAGTACAATGCTGTATCTCCAGATTTACTCTTTGTTGAATGAATAAATAAATTGGCAGAAATCACAAAGATTCTCACTGGCATAGGAAATGCAGTGATTAAATTTGAACTAAACTTATAAACTGCAAACTCTCCTTCACTATTCATATATTAACTGATGGCTACCAAAATGCTATAACTCTCCCAGGTTTAGAATACTATTTTGGGCATCCAGAAACCACCAGTATGTAAATACTGGCTTTAAGCAATGATATCTCATACTTAATTAAGGGAAATAAATGAAACAAACTCATTAAAAGAGCCATATAAAATGTAGCTGAAAATCTTAATTGACTCTAAAACTGGCAAAATGATATAAGGAGTAGGAGTTTAGGTATTTTTCTCATGTTATGTATGAATTAATAGCTCTGATGGTTTTCAACATATATTTTATCCTTTGGTGATCAAAGTTTATTTTTTTATTTTTAATTGAAATATAGTTGACATACAATATTATGTTAGTTTAAGGTGTACTACACAGTGATTTGACATTTACATACAAAATGATCGTTATGATAAATCTAGTAACCATCTGTCTCCAAAGTTATTACAATATTATTGACCATATTCTTTTTGATGTGTATTACATCCCTGGACCTCATTTATTTTATAACTGGAAGTTTGTACCTTTTAATCCTCATCACTTACTTTGCCCAAAGCACCCTCCTTCCCCCGAATCTGGCAACCACCCATTTGTTCTCTTTATCTGAGTCTGTTTTCATTTTGCTTTTTTAGATCCCACATATAAGTGAGATCATATGATATCTGTCTTTGACTTACCTCACTTAGCATAATGCCCTATACATCCATCCATGTTGCTGCAAATGGCACAATTTCATTCTTTATGGCTTATATTCACATGGAAAAACCTGAACTTTTGGCCAACACTATATGTGTGTGTGTGTGTGTGTGTGTGTATATACACACATACACACACACCTTCTCTATCCATTCACCTACTGATGGGCACTTAGACTGCTTCCATATCTTGCCTATTGTAAATAATGCTGCTATGAACATAGCGGTGCATTTATCTTTTCAAATTAGTGTTTTTGGTTCTTCAGAAAAATACCCAGAACTGTAATTGCTGGATCATTTGGTAATTCCACTTTCAGTTTCTTGAGGGGCCTCCATACTGTTCTCCATGGTGGCCGTACCAATTTACATTCCTACCAACAGCGCAGGATGGTCCCCTTTTCTCCACATCCTCGCCAATACTTGTTATTTGTTTTTGTTGTCTTTTTTATTACAGTCATTGTGACAGATGTGAGAGGCTATCTCACTGTGGTTTTGATTTGCATTTCCCTAATGATAGTGATGTTGAGCATCTTTTCATGTGCCTGTTGGCCATCTGTATGTCTTTTCTGGAAAAATGTCTATTCAGGTCCTCTGTCCATTTTTTTAACGGAATTTTTTTTTGATATTCAGTTGTATGAGTTCTTTATATATTTTGGATATTAACCTCTTATCACACATATCATTTGCAAACATCTCCTTCCACTCAGTAGGCTGCCTTTTCACTTGATAGATGGTTTCCTTTGCTGTGCAAAAGCGCATGGGTCTAGGACCTGGGCTCCTTTCGAATTTCTCCCTCTGCACTGGGACTCTGAGCACGTGAGACTTTGCATGTGCCCTCTAAGAGCAGAGTCTCTCTATCCTATAGCCCTCCAGCTCTCAAACATAAGCTCTGCTTTTTAGAATCAGCATGTTTTTAAAAAGCCCTATTTTCAAAACCAGATGTCCTGGGGGCTCATCTTTTGGCGTAGAACTTCCTGGGCTAGGAGCCCAACATGGGGCTCAGACCCCTCATTCCTTGGGGAGGACCTCTGTGCTTGTGATATTCCTCCCATTTGTGGGTCACTGACCTGGGGGTGTGAGTCCTGACTATACCGAGTCTCCACGCCTTCTACGCATCTGTTGTGGCCCCTTCTTTATATCTTTAGCTGTGGAAAATCTTATCTGCTAGTCTTCGGGTCATTTTCATAGATAATTACTCTGTAAATCATTGTAATTTTGGTGTGCCCGTGGGAGGAGGTGAGTTTAGTCTTCCTTCTCCATCATCATGGGGAAGTTCTCCAAAATTTGTATTTAACTAGACAATATACTATGGAAAATCTTACATATTTACAAATTAACCCAATTTCTGGTGAAAATAAGAAAGATGAATTGTATAAATTTAACATAAAAAGCTTACTAACTCAGTGCTCTGAAGCTGGAAATTTGTACATTTAAGAGAATTCAGTTAAACTGGTAGCCCACACAATAAACACTAGGGTATATGATCACTATCTGTGTATTCTTTCTCTCACCACTATGCGATTTTCCCCTTAAAGAAAGGAAAGTGTAAAGGGCTTTTAAAAGATTTTGATGTGTTAAGGCCTGTCTTGAACTGTGGAGTGTTCTCTTATGCTATGATAGCCCAAGGTTGAGCTCCAGAGGAATCTGGTTTGGTCCTTAATTAATCCAAGTTTGAAGGAACTTCTTAAGTCAGTTGAAAGGATTAGGCCGTTTTTAAAGTGAGACTGAGGCAGTACTGGTTGGGGTACAACCAGGAGAGGGATGGGGTGCACCGACTGCACAGGCCTCCTAACTCGGCACCGCCTTTGCTGTATTCCTCCTAAGATCATTTAGCTTTCCATTTACTCTTTAGCTTTTTTACAGAAATGTCAAGCAGGCAGTCAACATATTCATATATATTATTTTCATGAAGTATTAACTATGTAACAGGAAAACAGAAAAACCATCTATGTATTTTATAGAGGCTATGAGAATAGAAAGCGTTTCATTACAATTATTAGCTTGAATTTAAATGGCTCTAGTTTCATAATCTAATGTTGCCAGAGTAGAATCTCTTAAAAGTCTTTTAAGACCTTTTTACTTTTCTTCTTTTTTTTTAATCTTTGTTTTTATTTTACAAATTTATTTATTTTTGGCTGCATTGGGTCTTCGTTGCTGCACACAGGCTTTCTCTAGTTGTGGCGAGCGGGGGCTACTCTTCGTTGTGGTGCACGGGCTTCTCATTGCAGTGGCTTCTCTTGTTGCAGAGCATAGGCTCTAGGTGCACGGGCTCAGTAGTTGTGGCACACGGGCTCAGCAGTTGTAGCTCACGGGCTCTAGAGTGCAGGCTCAGTAGTTGTGGTGCACGGGCTTAGGTGCTCTGCGGCATGTGGGATCTTCCTGGACCAGGCTCAAACCCGTGTCCCCTGCATTGGCAGGCAAATTCTTAACCACTGCACCACCAGGGAAACCCTACTTTTCTTTTAAGATGAGGATTTATAATGCTTATCTCTTCACAATTTAAATGACAGCTCTATTTACTTTTCAACCAACATACTTTAAAGAAATGAATTTATGTTGATGAATAAAGCAGCTTCTTTCTGGAGGAAAGGCAGGTATTCGACATGAAGAAAGGATAGTTTCTAACACTGTTTGTTGAGAAGTTCAGCAGATGCTTCCCTCTAGGCTGAGACTAGAATGCAGAATCCTCTCAGTGGCTTGCAATATTTACGAATTTGCCACATGGCAAATGAATATTCCTGTTCTTATAAAAATGTCAGTGCACAAACCATAGGCAGCGATACATTAGTATTTACATTTATTTCATGTATGCAGTTTACACACTCACTATTGAACAAAATTGGAATGCAGACAAATATACAAATACCATAATAAGCATTATAAAATAAAATAACTGGCACTAGTGTTATAAGCATATTAATGGGCCTGGTGAGAAAAATGATGAAAGAAGACTGCAGCCCATGGCATTTTTCTTTTTATCAAAAGAAAAAGCTCTGTAGCACCATAATGGTAATACTTAAAAGAAACACATAAGATGGAATATTTTAACTGAGGTTAGTCTGTTTTATTTAAGTGAATTATACTGGAAGTTAACAGTATAGGCAATATTTTGGCCAACTTCTGTTTATGTCAGCTGAACATCTTCCATAAACAAAAGCAAAGGAAAATAAAGCCAGCCATATACAGACCCCTCCTTAGTACTTGGTACAAACTCTGCACCGTGCTTTGATTTCATGATTGGAGAAGATATACATGTGCTAAAAACTGAGGTTATGTAAAGTTATTCACTAAAGCCTGAGTGTGTCTTTGGTAGGCTAATACTTTTTCAGCATTGTTACTGTTAATCATATTTATGTTTCTCTACCCTGTATTTTTCTACATAATCCAAGGTGGCTAGAGAGGACATTATGGAAAACAATACAGCAAAACCCTCAAACAAGTAGGTCCTTAAAATCTACTCTATTCTGAAGGCACCAAGAATCAGTGGGGTGCAAACTTCCCCTTAATGAAAGGTGACTTTTTTGTAATACTTATAAACTAATGGAATTTTATTTTGCAGTTTTATATATTTTATTTGGTGCTGTCAGTATACTTAATTACCTACTTTTACACTTTTCTTCTAAGATGGCAACAATATACAAGATATATAGGGTACCAGGTGTTTCTATTTCAAAGTTGTGCAAAAACTGCCACAATCTTGCTCAAAGTGTCTAAGTATCCAAATGGTAGCAAATGGGCTGCATTAAGCTGTATATATCCACACTGCATATGAAGAAAAAAATGAAATTTATGCCCAGTTATGAACATAAATGTTACAAAGTGTATCATATACTGCGAGTAACCTGCAAGGTTCTTTAAACAGTATCTTTTAGTGGTTTCAATAAAATGTCACTAACCACTTAGCCCTAAGCCTCAAGTTCTCTTCATAAGAATGCTGTAGAACTGCATTAGTATTTTATATTGATTATAAATTAAGCCAAATTTCTATCTAAATACACAAGTATGTGCTTCAAGCAATGTTTTGTGGCAAACACACAAAACATAATTCTCTTAAGAATTACTGTCCTTACAATAATGCACTTTTAAAGCCTTCATTTCATAGTTTGGTAATTAAGATCCACATGAAACACAATGCTTTGTTGAACACAGAAAATGTATCTGCATTATGATGATGCAACCCAGCGTTTGCTGGCAACTTGAAACTTAAAATAGTCACGTGCAGTTCAACCAGCTCCAAACAAGGTTTTTCAAGTGGTAATTATTTTGCAGCATTTGTAGGTCTATATATCAGTCTGAATTGCAACTTTTAATTCCACTGTCTGATGTGAGTGGTTGTTATTTGCTTCTTTTAGTGCACTGCCAAAATATAAATCAATATTGGTTTTTATACCACTGTTGCCATGTTCTTCAGCAATATGATTCAACTGTGGAACTTCTGAACATGAAGCAGTTTTAGTAAGCACAGAAATGCTACACTGATGGGGGGAATTTTCCAGACGGTCGTTTTCTACCTCAGGAAGAATGTTAACAGTAGCAAAGCGGGTGTGATAATCAGTGGAACCATGACTACAAGAAGTTTTCATGCTTTCTAGGTCAGAACAACTAAATTCAGAAAAATGACTAGAGTGGGAATCTGCTACAGAAGGCATACTGTCACTGAGGGATGGTGCCTCGAATTCACTTGAGTTCGTACTCTGTTGTTCTAACAACTGTGCATCCATATCCTCTCTGGTCTCATTTATCTTCATGTTACTCTTTTTCCTCAATTTACCACTTTTTGATTTCTTTCCTGCTGCTGCTTCTTTGGACCACTTGGTGGCACTGGATTTACCTTCAGGCAAGCCACTGGATGAACCCCCAGGATGACTTCGGGTGGCACTGCCATCCTCCACACTGCTGCTTCCACTGTTGTGCCTGAATTTGGATGGCTTTGACTCGATATCTACCTGAACCTCCATACTGTTGCCTTCTCTGGAACATAAGAGTAACACATATAAATTTCTGACTTCCTCTTTTTAAAAGGAAAAATGCAAATGACAGCAAAGGGGGAGAGGCTTCTGTGTGAAAACTTCAAAGACTATATAAAAGCTATTAGAACAAATTAATGCAGGATACATTCTACTAATAGAAAAAAGTTGCTTGAAATAAGAGGACTATCTTTAAAATAATACTTAAATTTAAAATAAAACAGAAGCAACTACACTCATTGCTTATGCTATTCCAGGTACTATGCTACCTTCTCCATTTTTTTTCAGAACAGTTGTATTGAGATATAATTTGCATATCATAAAATTCACCTGTTTCAAGTGCACAATTCAGTGGTTTATAGTATATTCACAGAGTTTGCAACTATCACCACTATTGAACTTCAGAACATTTTCATCATCCCCAAAAGAAACCCATTAGCAGCCAGTTCCCATTCTTCCCCCTCCCCAACCCCTAGCAACCACTAACCTAATTTCTGTCTCTATGGATCTGCCTACTCTGGACATCTCACCACTTTCTTCTTGCAGAGAACCTAACAGTAGATAACCATTATTCACAATAATTTTGCCTAATGATAGGGATAATTCTTTACAAATTAATTTAAAAAATACTTCTGACTTTATAACAATTTTTTTCCTTACTTGTCCAATGGGATGTAGGAATTCAGAATGGATCCTGCCATTGCCTTGGTGCTGGCATTATCACTAACTGTTCCCAAACTGACTGTGCCAGATTCTCCACTTAGGCTGTACCGTTCTTTCTGTACATCTGCTTGTACTTCCAACCTTAAAGAGAGGGGTATTAGAAAACAAATCAACTACACATAATATCAACACTACTATGAGAATGTATCTTTAAATAATTCAGTAACAAGAAGCTATTTTAGAAACAACTATAAACATTATTTTTCTAAGTTTCCTTTTATTTGATTATTCAAATTCTACTGCAGCACACTGAACAGTACCAGCCATCCAGATAAAATGGTAAAATTAGCTGTCTGCCAAGTAAGGTAATAACAGAGTATTACAAAAAGAACATAAAGGATTTTAACTTAAACATGCTCCAATATTCTTACTTATGATGCGGTGCTTTGCTTGCCACACTTCAGTGCAAAACACCAAATCAGAATACATTAAAAACCATTCTACATGACAAATCAGTGCCTCAAAAAATCCTGGGCATCTATATATTAAAAATAGTTCCAAATTTAACACCTGACTCTTTAAAAAAGACATAATAGGGACGTCCCTGGTGGCGCAGTGGTTAAGAATCTGCCTGCCAACGCAGGGGGTACGGGTTCGAGCCCTGGTCCAGAAAGATCCCACATGCTGCAGAACAACTAAGCCTGTGCGCCGCAACCACTGAGCCTGCGCTCTAGAGCCTGCGCGCCACAACTACTGAAGCCCGTGCACCTAGAGCCCGTGCTCTGCAACAAGAGAAGCCACCGTGGTGAGAAGACTGTGCACTACAACAAAGAGTAGCTCCCACTAACTGCAACTAGAGAAAGCCCTTGTGCAGCAACGAAGACCCAATGCAGCCAAAAACAAATAAATTTATCAAAAAAAAGAGACATAATATACACCACTATAACTTAAGAGTTTGTGTTTAAAAGCACACTACCTAAAAATAAGATAAACATAACTGATTTATCTTTTTTTTTTTTTGCGGTACGCGGGCCTCTCACTGCTGTGGCCTCTCCCGTTGCGGAGCACAGGCTCCAGCCGCGCAGGCTCAGCGGCCATGGCTCACGGGCCCAGCCGTTCCGCGGCACGTGGGATCTTCCCGGACCGGGGCACGAACCAGTGTCCCCTGCATTGGCAGGCGGACTCTCAACCACTGTGCCACCAGGGAAGCCCTGATTTATCTTTTAATTCATGTACTCTCCCCTACGTTTAAAAAAAAACCCCAAAGCTAGTAAACAGAAGTAAAGAAAAGTAAATTAAAGAGGAAACAAAAGAAGATAAAAATGCTTTAACTTATCCTACTTATCTACATGGCTTTGGGTAAAAGACTTCGTGAGAATTAAATAACCATTAATACATAAAAGGACCCAGGCAGACTCTCTCGGCCTCAGTTCTTGCATTTCCGGATATCCTGACTCCACCTGCTCCCCCAGGCTTCAGCCAGCGTCTCATTTCCTAACAGCTGTGGCCACCTCCAGAGGTAAGGTCCAAGCTTAATCACTGCCTTTACGGTATTCACCGAGGCAGCTCCAGCACTGACTCATAACATAAAATCTGACAAGTGCAGTGAAAAAAATGGCATGTTATCCCTTAGACTTGGTTTTTACCTCATCAAATCTCCTTACTCACGGTTTACCACTAAATTTCCGTTTTTGAAACCTTGCTGTTTTCAACCCTGACACAGTAAGATTATATGTCATCATCATGCTTTGTGTTCAAAACTCTCCTCATCTATAATAATTAATAATTTGTAGTTAAGGCAAAACCAAACCAAAACAAAACAAAGCACAGTTTTCTCACCTGTGAAAACAGTTTACCATGGCACTTCCTGACAGACTCCCTGTGATACTGGCTCCAGCGAGCGCCATGGTGCTGGCCGTTTCACTCAGGTTGTCCCGGATGGCTCCTATTCGATCCATGTGGCTTCCACTTGCACTCAAACTGCCGGTCAAACCACCAACACTTCCCTCCCCTATGCTAGGGTTGTGTCTTGCTTCTGCTACTGAAGTTGTGTCTAAATGCAAATATTTCAAAGAAATTAAATAAGTGTGATTATTGATTTCCCTCTCCATAAAGTCTGTCATGATTTCAGATAGGACATATTTTCATATAAAGTATAAAACATACACAGGAATAGAAAAAGTGTCTGGAGTCAGAAACACATAACATAACCGTGGGATAACAGTAAACGGAAATATCTCACAGGGTAAAGTTGGATTAAGGATGCCCTCAGTTTTAAATGGTTACTACAGGCATACCTTGGAGATATGTATTGTGGGTTTGGTTCCAGACCATGGCAATAAAGCAAATATCACAATAAAGTGGGTCACATGAATTTTTGGGTTTCCCAGTGCATATAAAAGTTATGTTTACACTATACTAAACTGTGCAATAGCATTATGTCTAAAAAAAATGTATATACAGTGATTAAAAAATACTTTATTGCTAAAAAAAATGCTAACCATCATCTGACAGCTCAGGGTTGCCACAAGCCTTCAATCTGCAAAAAATGCAATTAGCTGCAAAGTGCGATAAAATGAAGTATGCCTGTACTTTACAAGAAAATCAAGAAGATTTAGGAATTCTATAAAGAACCTGATGGTTGAAGAATTTAGCTGACTTTGAGAAAAATTATGTGACAGTTTTCAATAAGGGTGTTATTTAAAGAGCTTAGTATTCTCTAGGACAATAAGAATGGGCCAAAAGTTGACTATTTGCTCCAATATTTGAGTTCCTATTATATAACCCAACTCTGTTTCTAAGTACTGAGGACACAGTGGATCAAAGAGACGAACAACCTGCCCTCAAAAAGCTTACACTCTAGTTGGGGAGCGCAATAAATAAAATTATATGGTGATAAATGCTGTGAGAAAAAATAAAGCAGAGTAAAGGGGAGTGAGTAAAAGGCAGTGAGAGTGATGAGGAGTGCGTGTCTGTGTGTGCACACGCAAGCGCCTGTGTACTGTTTTATATAGTATGATCAGAGAAGGCCTCTCTGATAAGGTAACACCTGTAGAGACTCAAAGGAAGTGAAGAGGTGAGCCATGAAATTATCTGGGGGAAGAGTATTCCAGGCAGAGTAAACTGCAAGTTTAAAAGCCTATAAGTGGAAGTATGTTTGGCATCCTCAACATTAAGGACAGGTGGTATAAGGGAAGAGTTCAGAGATGTAGCTCAGGAAAGACCAGAGGGGGACTTATGGGCCATGGTAGCAACTGTCGATTCCATCCCCCCGCCCCTGGTACAGTTAGAAGCACTGGGAGAATTTTGAACACAAGTTAGATCTAACTTATGTTTTAGAAATATCATTATGTGGAATGGTGAGTGGAAGCTGAAAGCTGATGGATCACTTAAGAGGCTATTACTGTAACCCAGGATAAAAGAGAGTAGCTTGGACTAGTGGAATAGCAGTAGAGATGGTGAGAAATGGTGGAATTATGGCTAAATACTGAAGGAAGCAGCAGAACTTGCTGACGGATCAGACGTAGGGTAAAAAGGGAGAAGGGAGAGTCATCATCAGCAAAGGTTTTGGCACAGCAACAGCAGAATGAAGAGGCTACTAAACAAGGGAAGGATGACTGAGAGGACAACAGGTTTTAGAGTGAAGAGTCTGGTTACAGACTCTTAAGCTTGGAATTCTTGTTAGACGTTCCAGTGCAGCTTAGGTAGAAGAGTTAGATGTATGAATTGAAGTTTAGAGGACAGTTCTAGCCTAAACATAAACTGAAGAGTGGTTTGTCTATATATTATTTAACAGAGGAGATTACCTAGGGAGTGCGTGTAGATAAAGAAGAGAAATCTGAGAACTGAGAGCCCTGGGAAACTCCAAAATTTAGAGGTTAGGAGAGGAAAATGAACCAGCAAAGAAAGCTGACGAGTGGCCAGGAGATATGATGAAATGAGAAGTGGTTATCCAGAAAACAAGTAGAGAAAATGTTTTAAGAAGGAGGGCATGCTCTACCATGTCATGTGTACTGTTACAGTAAGATGAAAATCAAGAATTGACCACTATATTTGGTAACATGGAGGTGACTGGTGACTCTGCTTTGGTGGAGTGGCAGAGAGGAAATTTTGGAATGGTAGGGACCAAAATCTGATTGGAGTGAGTTCAAGCGAGAACGGGAGGTAAGGAAGAGAACATTATCTTTGCACATATGCCTGATTACAGGCAAACCTCAGTTTATTGCGCTTCAAAGATACTGTGTTGGGACTTCCCTGGTGGTGCAGTAGTTAAGAATCCACCTGCCAATGCAGGGGACACGGATTCGAGCCCTGGTCTGGGAAGATCCCACATGCCGTGGAGCAACTAAGCCCGCGCGCCAGAACTACTGAAGCCTGCGTGCCTAGAGCCCGTGCTCTGCAACAAGAGAAGCCACCGCAATGAGAAGCCCATGCACCACAACGAAGAGTAGCCCCCACTTGCTGCAACTAGACAAAGCCCGCGCGCAGCAAAGAAGACCCAACGCAGCCAAAAGTAAATTAATTAATTAATTAATTTTAAAAAGATACTGTTTGTTTTTTAAACAAGTGAAAGGTTTATGGCAACCCTGCTTTAAGCAAGTCTATCAGCACCATTTTCCCAACATCATTTGCTCACTTTGCGTCTCTGTGTCACATTTTGGTAATTCTTGGAGTATTTCAAACTTTTTCATTATTATTATATTTGTTATGGCGATCTGCGATCAGTGATCTTTCATGTTACTATTGTCATTGTTTTGGGGTGCCATGAACCGCACCCATATATGACAGCTAACTTAACTGATAAATGTGTATGGGTTCTGACCACTCCACCAATGGGCTGTTCCCCCATCTCTCTCCCTTCTCCTCAGGCCCCCCTATTCCCTAAGACACAACAATATTGAAATTAGGCCAATTAATAACCCTACAATGGCCTCTTAAATGTTTAAGTGAAAAGAAAAATTGCACATCTCTCACTTTAAATCAAAAGGTAGAAATGATTAAGCTTAGTGAGGAAGGTACATTGAAAGCTAGGGCAGGCTGAAAGGCTAGGCCTTTTGTGCCATTTAGCCAAGCTGTGAACACAAAGGAAAAAGTCTTGAAAGAAATTAAAAGTCCTACTCCAGTGAACACATGAATGATAAGAAAGCAAAACAGACTATTGCTGATATGCAGAAAGCTGTAGTAGTTTGGATAGAAGATCAAAACAGCCACAACATTCCCTCAAGCCAAAGCCTAATCCAGAACAAGGCCCTGTCTTTAATTCTACAAAGGCTGAGAGAGGTGAGGACACTGCAGAAGAAAAGTCTGACGCCAGCAGAGTTGGTTCGTGAGCTTTAAGGAGAGAAGCCGTCTCCGTAACATAAAAAAGCAAGGTGATGCAGCAAGTGCTGATGTAGAAGCTGCAGCAAGTTATCCAGAAGATCTAGTTAAGATGCTTAATGAAGGTGGCTACACTAAATAATAGATTTTTAATACAGATGAAACACCTTATATTGGAAGAAGATGCTGTTCAGGACTCTCATAGCTAGAGAGGAGAAGTCAATGCCTGGCTTTGAAGCTTCAAAGGACAGGATGACCCTCTTACTAGGGGCCAATGCAGCTGGTGACCTGAAGTTGAAGCCAATGCTCATTTACCATTCCAAAAATCCTAGGGCCCTTAGGAATTAGGCTAAATCTACTCTGCCTGTGCTCTATAAATGGAACAACAAATCCTGGATGACAGCACATCTATTTACAACATAGCTTACTGAATATTTTAAGCCCACTGTTGAGACCTACTGCTCAGAAAAAGAAAAGATTCCTTTCAAAATATTACTGGCTCATTGACAATGCACCTGGTGACCCAAGAGCTCTGATGGAGATGTAGGACAAGATGCCTGCAAACACAACACCCATTCTGCAGCCCACAGATCAAGAAGTCGTTTCAAATTTCAAGTCTTATGATTTAAGAAATACATTCTGTAAGGCTATAGCTGCCACAGACAATGAGTCCTCTGATGAATCTGGACAAAGTAAATTGAGAACCTTCTGGAAAGGATTCACCATCCTAGATGCCATTAAGAACATTCACAGTTTCATGGGAAGTGGTCAAAATATCAACATTAACAGGAGTTGGAAAGAAGCTGATTCCAACTGTCATGGATGACTCTGAGGAGTCCAAGATTTCAGTGGAGAAGGTAACTACAGAAGTGGTGGAAAGAGCAAGAGAACTAGAAGCGCAGCCTGAAGATGTGACTGAATTGCTGCAATCTCATGATAAAACTTTCATGAATGAGTAGTTGCTTCTGATGGATAAGCAAAGAAAGTGGTTTCTTGAGATGGAATCTACTCCTGTTGAAGATGCTATGAAGACTGTTGAAATGACAACAAAGGATGTAGAATATTACATAAACTTAGTTGATAAAGCAGTGGCAGGATTTGAAAGGACTGACTCCAATTCTGAAAGAAGTTCTACTGTGGGTAAAATGCTACCAAACTGCATTGCATGTGAAATCATTCGTGAAAGGAAGAGCCAATTGATACAGCAAACTTCACTGTTGTCGTATTTTAAGAAATTCCCACAGCCACCCCAGCCTTCAGTAACCACCACCCTGATCAGTCAGCAGCCACCAACATCCAGGCAAGACCCTCCACTGGCAAAAAGATTATGACTTGCTGAAGGCTCACATGATTAAAATTTTTTAGCAATAAAGTATTTTTAAATTCAGGTAGATACTTAATATACAGTATAGTGTAAACATAACTTTTATATGCAGTGGGAAACCCCAAAATTCATGTCTTGCTTTATTGTGATATTTGCTTTATTGCGGTGGTCTGGAAGCGAACCTACAACATCTCCAAGGTATGCCTGTACTTCCCCAAGACAATTTCTTTAACGAGAACTGTGGGAATTTCTTTAAAAAGAACACGCACATTTAAAAAAGCTTATTAACTTGTACTCCTAATGGTAGTCTATGAGGGCCTTTATATGTTCCAGTTTTTGTTATAATTCCTATTTCTTTGAATAACATTAGGTTAAAGATATTTTCTACTCATTGGGCATCTGCATTTCTTCTTTTATAAACTGTAGTTCTCTTCTGTCCTTTTATTACTGATTTGTAACATTTTACACAAAATAATCTAGAATTTCTAAGACATTACATTTCCATCGGAGGTTATAGGTGCCCAGAACCATCCCACCCTCTTTCATCCATTCACCTTTCCTCAGCAGCTCATTTCTCTGATGTACTTCTGGGTGAATACTATTAGGGCTAGTAAGAGAGCAATGGGAATTCTGACTTGCATATTACCTACAGCCTTACACTATTACTACTAGTACGTACATTTTCTTCCTTTGCTGAAAGGACTTACCTACAGCTGTGTTTGTCCCACCAACATTTATATCATTTTCATCATCAAATTCAATCCTGACTCCTTTTCCATTGCCTGCTGAGACCCCACAACCTCCGCTTCGACAGAGAGAAATCGGAACAACACCATAGACATAAGCTAACATAATAGGAACACCAATACCTAAAGAGGAATTAAATTGTTCATTACAAACCAAAAAATAAATTACAGAAACACACATTTCAGAAAGTATTTTCAAGAGAAGGTGTACAGGAGAAAAGTGTTAGGGTTCTACAACTCTTGCCAAAAGCGGATTTACCCAACTATTAAAGGATGCAAGCAGATTCAAAGCTTCTAGCCTCAGGTGACACATATGAGGTTAAAAAAAAGATGTAAATCTTTTTTCTTTTTCAGTGCCAGGGCTCTAAACGGTGTTTTGGTGGGGAGGAAGGGATATTAACCACTAATAATTTACCAACTATCCCTAAGGCTAGGCTCTTGAGTTTATATTACTTTTAACCAATATAGTTACAGAATGAGAGGCTATCTGTAGGCTCAAACTGCCCCTAAATAAATAAATAAAGTAACTCTCTTATCTTCAACAATATAATGCTCTGTTTTTCAAAATTCTTCCACAAAACTTTAATTCTATAAAATTTGAGGTAATTAGAATTTTTAAGCATTTCTTACCTACAGTTACTGCAGCTACAACTGGAGATACGATTACAGACAATGTTACACCACCTGCTATGGCCAAATTCCGTTTGTGCTTTGAAACATCCTTGCCTTCATATCGATTGTGAATCTTGAATTAAAAAGAAAAATGGGGGTGATGGGTTAAAGAAAAAACACATTACATATTTAATTTAAATGAAATAGACCTACATTTGTTAGAAGTTTAAAGTGATTTACCTTATAATTTCATAGTTAAGTGTCCAAATTCAAGGTAAACATATTGTTGTTCTTAAACCATATTCTTATATATAATTTGCTCCTTATTAATAGTTTGGTTACATAAGACAGTGATTTAATAGATTTTACTCTGTTTAATCAATCTTGAGCAAAAGTAGTCCTTATAATCTTATTCAAGAACAGTATAAATCATGTTTTGAGCAAAGAAGAAGGAATTAAGAACATTATTTTCAACATAGTTATGAGTTGGATGTTAGATCAACAGGATTACTTCTAAGAAATGTATCATTCCACAGAATTCTAAATAAGCATCCCTAATTAGTTGGCTTCTAGGAGAGGTTTACACAGTCTCTAAAAAAAAAAAAAAACCTGACCTTAAAAAGCAGTACTAATAAGCAAACATCACTAAATAGAATCCATTTTTTTCTCAGATCCCTTTTTATGAAGAAAAATGTTATCAAATGACTCAGGACCCTGGGCTCTCATTTATAGCTCAAAGTAAGGGGTACAGAGAGAAAAAAAGAACAAATAATGTTGCCAGAGGACAGGAGTTAGATCTACTTGGCATCTTTGTAGAGTACAGGTGTTGTTAATAAACAGAACTTAATATCACCATGAAAGTTACTTGTGAGATTATTATATGAACTTCAGGAAATAGCTCAGTATCTTTGTTCTTGTGATTTTCAAGGGCTAAAGCTAATAAAGTACATTTCCCCCTGTTTCAAGACAGATTCAAAACAGCCTCAAAAGGGTACAGGTAGCCTCTAAAGTAAAATACTTGACTTAAAAACAATATTACAGATGAGGCGTAATGAAGTAATCTATCATTATTATGTGGTTATTTTGAAGGCTGTAAAGTACAATGAGTCTTATGGGATGTATTAAACAGTGAAAAAGCTGGGATGGGGAGGTGGGCAAAACATGCATGGGACAAGGAACATTTCTATTTCCTAGTCAGAATTCTGTTTCCCAGAACTGACTATATGTTCCAGGGAATGGGTCTCTACACTTCCGAAATAGTCCATACAGGCAGAGATGGCAGACCTTCCCAAAGTACCTTTCATTATCCTTCAGTGCTCTAGCTAATACCTGTTCCTCACCACCCTCATTCCTACAAAACTCAGCACTGAAGCAGAAAAAAGACAAAGCTAGAAACTGATGGAGCAGACTTGCAAAGGCAGGCTGCCAGGAGAAAGAGTCTTCCAGATAATTCCACATCCTCAAGCACCAATGTTCAATTACAGTGATCATATCATCCCACTACTTCTGGTTCAACTTAATTTTTTCTGTTTTACTATTTTGTGCCACATTTGCTATTTGTTATTGTAAAGAAAGGCTCAGCTTTTAGGTACTTTATCAATTTAATAGGTTTTCCTGGGCTGGTTTATAACCCTACACAACCCAGAGAACACTGTTTCAGTGGAAAACTAATTCATCAACTTGCAACCATTTGAGTACAGGTTTGAAAAAAGGAGACTCGTTACTGCACCTAAGACTGAACAATGAGGTAAATAATCTCTCCTCTATAAATTATTTGTAGGTGTATGCAGTACAACAGTCTTTCTTTCCCTTCTACTTCTAAGTATCTGAATAGTTTTCTTTTCGGCAAAACCTTGCTTTGGACAACTTACGAAAAATTATTATAATCAGTATTATGTTTGGGACTTTAAACAATTACCTTCTGAAATAAACATTCAGCCCATAAATATGTTTGTCCTCAGTCTCAAGCTAATTTAAAAAATAGTATGTACTGTTATTTCTGATTATAAAAGTAATATGTGTTGAACATAAAAAAACATGGCTGTTGTATGAAAGAGGATCAGCCTTGTCTTGAGTCCTGAAAGTCAGAACTAGAATTAAATGAAACAATTAAAAGGGAAATGGATTCTGACTCAACATAAGAATTTTCTAACACTTACAGCTCCCTGGCAACAGAATGGGCTGCCTCATGAGTTGGTGGTTTCCCCATCACTGAAGTGCCCAAATGGATAGCTTGAAATTTATCAGGGATCTTATATAAAGAATTTGTGCATCTGGGTTTAAATCCCAGCTCTGCTTCTTCCTGTGTAACTAAAGATAAATTACATAAATTTTCCTAAACTTCAATATTCTAACATATAAATTGCTGTGAGGTTAAAATGAGTCAAAGTATATAAAACATCTACCACACAGTTAGAACTCAACAAATGTTAGTTCCCCTTTTTAAAATTCCTATACTTTGTTCTGCTTGGCTACAGGGTTGGGATTAGATAATTTCTGAGGTTACTTCTCAATTCTGATATTCTACTAATTTAGGCAGCAGCAGACTTCTTAGCCACTTTGTATATTATCCCTTTCATCTTTCAAAAAAGAATTATTTGCTTAGCCAATGAAGTATCACTCAGGCCAGTGGCAAGTATTGGGTGTTCAGACTTTCACAAAATTGTTGTAATCTACAAAATAGTGTATTTACTAATAGCAGTAATCTGAAGAAAACAAAAGCTTTGAATTCAAGTTGGAAATAATTCAGGAACTGGCTAATTATTCTTTGCCTGAGGGCATATGTTATTTCTCTATTAACCTTATAGACCTGACTTTACAAGGACATACCCATGAGAAAAAATGTCAGGTGTGGATTCTTTAATATTTTATATGTAAAGTTTATAATGCAAATGTACTGAAGATTCAGATAATTTTAAAGCAAGTCTACTTTTTATGCATACATATAAGCTTGCCAAACACTGAAAATTTATTACCTTATGAAAAAACAGTAACCGTTTTACACTTAAGATACCAAAAATGACCTTTGTCTTTCAAAACAAATAAATAAAAAAAAAAAACAAACACAAAGCAAAACCATCAATCCTAAATCTAAAGATTTAAAATAAGATAATAAATTAACAAGGAATCAAGCATTTTACCTTACGGCCCACATATACAGGAATGCCAATAATCATGGCAGGGATAGCAATGCCAGCTATTAAAGCAATTCCTACAGGAGCACCAACAAGTGTTCCCAGCTGCCACAATATTTTCTTCTTTCGGCTCCAGGGTTTCTTCCCCCAAAAAGTACATCCTGATGGACTAAAGGAAAAAATTACAATGTAAAGTAACTGTTGCAAAACATCACAGTAACAATTTACTACAATACATTCAGCAATAACTATAAAAGAATTCTCGAATTTAGGAATGAGGATTTTTTTCCCCTTTCTTTGAATTCTGAGTTTACTAAAAGCTAAAATATCAAGGTAAGCACCACCATAAATTACATTAAAAGGATACTGATAACTGGGATTCAGGTTAAACATTTATCCCTAGTCCTCCATTAGCCTCAAAACCTTAGGTTAGTTTTGGAAGAGTAAATTAATGCAAAATATGCTTATTTTATCCCTGTTTTAGGCACATAATTATCTGATTATATCATAAACTCACTCAGTGGCCTAAATGAGGAAATTTATGAGAAAATTAAATGGAAATATTTATGACCTACCATAATTACATGGGGTATTAAATGCTAACTTTCTAGCTTAACAAAAAACAAAGCCGGGAATTCCCTGTCAGTCCAGTGGTTAGGACTTGGCGCTTTCACTGTCAGGCCCAGGTTCAATTCCTGGTCGGGGAACTAAGATTCCACAAGCTGCGTGGTACAGCCAAAAAACAAACAAACAAAACAAAGCCAAACAAAAAAAAAGAAGAAATTTCCATTTCCTATTTTTGACTAGTTATTAATCTCAAATGACTGGCACAATAATTGGGTTCCTATTAAATTTATGTAGCTAGAATAAAATAGATCTCTTCAAGTATCATATAAATTCCAAGCTTAAGAATACTAAGGATAATGCTGTTTCCAAAAAAAGTCCTTTTGTCTTACAATATAAAATTATATTTAGATATAAATAGCCCCTTCTATAAGCTTACCTTAGATAATGTAAATCCGAGATTTCTTTCATACACAACCAACAAAACTCACAACCACAGACAGCACATGTCATGTGATTACAGCTCCCATCATTCATCTTTATTATATAAGCAGCACACCGTGGACATGGTTTTATATCATCAGCTATTAAGAAAATAGACATGTTTAGTATACAAGACTGGTCTAAAAATAACAATTTCTAGTAGATAATTATAGCACTGCCAAAATATCTTAACATGTATGGTTTGGTAACCGATAGCTTTAGCCTGCTAATTTTAGTATATAAAGCACTTTTTTTTCCCTTCCAAGGAAAGGAACATATTTTACATTAAATTTTCAAACTGTAAACATTTTTCCAACAGTAGCAGAACAATGAGAATAAAGAATAACAAAATAATAAAAAGAGAAATGAGAACCAAGGGCAGCTCGAGGCAAACCGGGAACTATATAAAGTTTGTCTTTGTCCCCACCCCATAGCTGTCTTCAATGAGCAGCACTTCAAGTTCTAGGACTTTTCTAACCATCTCCACTTAAATTAAATGTAGATATTCTGTATACTATTCCTTTAGTGAATGAATACTAACAGCAAGTGACAATTTGATAGTAACCTGAAGCACTACATAAAAATAGCACTATGAGTTTACTCCTCTCTTCTAGGTAACATCAACTATAGGCACTGTAAAAATAATACAGGTATCTGTAGAAAAGCAGCCTTTTTCTCGTATTTTAATTCATACAATAGATAGATGGGCCTTGCAAAGAATCAGAACTCAGATAAAAGGGAGGAGGTAAGAGGTTAAGTACGGGTTGTATGGTTATAAACACTTAATGGGAAATAGTTTCAGAATTAAAGCAACCATTTGTTGGTTATGCTCATGACTGTTTTTAATTAGTTAACTTCGTCCATTTTATTCATTTATTCAAATGCTGTGGTATGCTTCGTGTATAGTAATATGGTTACAATGCACAAAGATGCCAAGTTACAATCAAGTGGTACATAACTTTAGGAATCGCTGACACAGAATAAGAGTTATCTCAAATTATGCAACTATTTTGAACTTTGGCATCTATTTAAATAGCAACCAGTAATTATTTACTGTTACTAGTAATCACCTGTATTTTCGAACTACACATAAGACAGTTAAGAAAAGATATGTATAGTGCAAGCCACTGAATTCAAGTATTTGTTTCAATTTCTTACATGATAAGCATTAAGCTATATTCTATTTTCCTTTTTACAAGTTTTATGGTCAAATTTTACCTGTGCTTTATCAGTGAATTCAGGTTTCCTTAGCGCTTCATTTAGGGCCAAAGCTGTTTTTTAACTTAAGAACTGGTCGATGCTCACAATTACTGTTTTAACGATTCAAACAATTTTGAGCAAACTGACAACTCTATGCAGCCAGACCAAAACACATAATTACTAGAATATAAAAATTTAAAAATCCATAAGTCATGATTTAAATGATCCAAAGAACACAAAGTCTGCATGAAAATGTTTTTAACACTGGGCATGAATGAAAAAAAGCTGGCTTTTATAGCTAATATAATAGCTAGTACATTAAAGAAATGCTAATACTCTGCTTAAGTGGCATATTAATTGATAAACTTCCTCATTTCAGAGTATTCTCAAATAGTAAATATCCCAATTAGTGGTGAGAGTAAAAAGACTCAGGCTTTGGCTCTGACATATGCAATCTTCAGAACAAACTGACAGGTGATATTCCCATTCATTTTCATGGTTCTAAAAACACAAAAAGTCCTTTTAATATGCTAAGATTACATGTTAGAGAATTAACACCATAAGCAATCTAATGATATGTGTCTCTTTTATATATTTGTACTTGCATGCTTTCACTCTCTGCATACTTGTTTGTCTACAAAAAGCTGTTTTGTCTGCTTTGTCTCGTTTCTGGAACAACAAACTGGAAAAAAAAATTTTTACTGTGCACATTAGATAATGTATTTCTCTCAAAATATTCTCCAAATGCAAAAATCCTAAATAAAACTGTTTTAATGATTAGATGGTCAAATGATGCCCCACTCCCCAAGCATCAATTAATCCACAGCTCCTTTATACCAAAAAAAAAAAAATGTTTTCCATTTCTATTTAAAGTGTTTGGCACAGCTTTTGTCTTTTTAAATTACTATATTTCTATTTGCTGTTAAAATATGTGCCATTGTCATATTAAGAAAAAAACACTGGGTCACCAAATATTATGTTCTCAAAAATTGTTTTAAAACTCCCCTGCCCCTGCAACATTGCCTATAAAGACTTAAAACAAAATGTTAACAGTGAATATCTTTAGGGGTGGTAGTAATAGGGGATAGGGGTAGGTGGGGAGCTGAGCCAATTAAATATATTTTTATAAAGGGGGAGAAACATGGTAACAAAAATGAAAAATATGTGTTTCATTTAAAATGCAGTAACTCAAAGTGTGTTAACTCCCTGGTAGCTATAAGAGTCTCATGTAGATGCAATACTGGCAGAGTTTAAAGACAAATATAATCATAATAGAAATTATTTAATGTACCATATAATTAAGCATACTTATTTAACTTCAGGTAACTGATTAGAAAGAAATAGCCAACCAATTATTATTATTATACCAAGCAATTATTATTAAAAGTGCAGACTATTTTTTAATGTATCATGACAACGAGAGACCAAAAAACACCACGATACCCAGAACAACAGGAATTAATAAAACTATTTCAGATGGTAGTTTACTTTCCTCTTGTCTTTCCACAAGTCAGTGAAAAGCCAAGTTCAAAGTTTTAATTTTTTTATAGATTACATCAAGGAAACTACCACTAAATTTTTGTTCTGAGAGCTTTTATTTTTGGAACACTGTAGGTGAAAATGCATGTACCTTATATTTTCAGAACAATGAGATAAGATTTTTAAATCAACATGGAAAAATTCCAAATGAAGTTTATTTTTTAAAATAATCACCTTGGGAGGGAGGCTATTCCAACAATGCTACTATTTAACTCAAATCATTTGGAAGTTTTTCTTTCATAATTACTTTCAAAGCTACTTTATATATATAAAAAGTCACACTCATGATCATATAAGCACATCTTACTTTGGATCCACACCAAACCAGTGATTCAACTTGGCATGTTACTCTAGGTGTTAAACTTAGCTGCAACGGAACTTTTGGTTATCCCCAGAAATCAAACTCACATTAAAGGGATAATTTTAAGTGAACGTATAAGGGTTATGACCAGTAAGGCATTCCAGGACAGCACTGCTAAATAAACATAAAATCCCCCACGATGACTGTAAGGAAGACCAACATTCTCTGGGATGTGACTAAATCATGATGTTTACTTTAAAATTAATAACAAAAGTCATCTCTTAGTCATTTCTTTTCTTTTTTTTTTTTTCTTTAATGATGGTTCAGATATATGCAAATCTCTAGCAGGGGACTGTGGTTTCTCTAAGTTTCCCTATCTCATATAGCCAAAGCACTTACTATGAGCTAGGAAATGTTTCAACCTTATGGATTTAAGTATTATTAGTATGTTTATCTTATAGATGAGGCAAGTAACTTGCTCAGGGTCACACAGAGAATAAGTGAAGAAGCTGGAATTCGAATCCAGACGATGATTCCAGAATCCATTCTCCTACTCTATATGTCTGTGTGTCCTGTAAACAATAAATATCCATCCCCACTTAGAGAAGAGGGATATCATTTCCAAGGGGACCACTTAATAGCTATAGCTGACTCTACAGAGGACAGTTTAGGTATACTCAGGTCCTCTCTGAATTGCTTCTGAACCAATACCTACAGATTATTATTAATACCTTTGGAGTTCTACCCCAAATCTTTAGGAAAGGAAATAAAACAAGTCAACCAGTGAACAAGCAAGAAAATCCATGTCCATTGTATAAAATATTAAGTGTTGAATTTAAAGTTTATTTAATTTTAAATTCAACTTTAAATATTAAGACTTTTTTTTTTCTAGTAGCATAAAGTACATGACTATTTTAATACACTGCTGGTAGGAATGTAAATTATTTTCTTGATAAATTTCTGTATTTTCCAAGTTTTTTCCTTTTTATAATCAATGAAAAAAGTTAATATTTTTCTAAAAATGACTGAAGTTCCAATAAACAGTGAAAATTCTATGAAATATTAGTTTTTTTGAATTTTTATTCAAAGAACATTAAGATGGTCAGACTTTTTAAAAATTTTTTAAGATTTATGAGATGTATATGTTTGCTCATGTACAGATCTCCAAGTAATTTTTAAATTCCTAGCCAAAGACACAAAGTTCTTAGTGTACTCCTCACCAAGGTATGATTCTGAATCCCTGATCCTGGAATTGGTAATATCTGTAAATAAAAATTGTATTTCACAAAACATGTAAATGAAAAGGATTCCAAAAATAAATACTGTTTTAAATCTGTAACTGGGTGATATTTATACAATGAGAAATAATCTCTAAGGGTAATATATTCAAAATTAATATATTTTTTAAAATAGTTGCTAAGCTTTGCATAAAACACCTTTATAAACATCAGTTTCAGACCACCTTCAGCTATCAGTTATATAAATCATCACTGACACTTCCTTTCTTCCTTTTTTTTCGGACAATAAAATCTTTCCAACTCAATACCACTTTCTTCTACAGAAAGAATGAGTGCTTCTGGGACAGAAATGCTAACACGTAAAACACTTTAGAAAACTGAAAGGATACAAGGACTGAATATTACATTTTTAAATTAAAATAACTGGTGTTCTATATGTGTAAAATATTTACTAGAAGAAGTTAGATGTAAATACCTGCTGCTCCAGACTCTTGACTATAACTAATGGACGAAGAACGTATAGTTCTCAGACGTAAACTCTGGGCTCTCTCCTGTCGAGCAGCATCACAGGTCTGATTGGGGTGCCAAATCTGTTTACAGTGGTAGCAAAACTCTGTTCCACAGCCTTCTCGCCCACAAGTTAATTTTGGACAGCTAGCACATCCGAATGCTATCACAGCATACCTTTACAGAACAAGAAAAAAGATTTAAAATGTGATGTAAAATAAGAGATACTCAGTAAGTAAAAATACTATCCAATTTAAATGCTATTTCAGAAAAAGTTTTCTATTTATGCATGAGCTAACAGTCAGAAACCCTAAAACTATCTATCTCATCAATATAAAAATGGGGAAAAAATAAACAGTTCACAAATGAAGACATATAAATGCCTAAAAAAATTATTAAAGTTTAATTTTCAACTTTTAACTAGGACACCAAACTGTATAAATAGCCTAGTCCTAATTTTATAAAAATTCTATTAAGTTAGTATTATATGCACATAGAAAAGACTAAAAAGAAATATACCAAAAGTCTTAACAGTAGTTTCCCTGGTATTAGGGTTTTTTCTTCTTTATATACTTATATATTTCTAATTTTTACAACTACTTGTTAATGCTAAAATCAGAAAGATAAAAAAATTACCTATTTAAAATTATAATGACTATGGATCCGCTATACCTATCAGTTAATGGCAAATGAGGCCAATTCATACATTTTGTGAATATCTTGTGTTTATGCATAAATTCTCATATTTTTGTTTTTAAGATGCATGGCAGAAGTTGTCTTTGGTGCCAATCTCCTAATAAAAGGTACACAAACTCTAATTTCTCCATCAGGAAATTTGTTATTTTGCTTCAGAAAAAAAACCTGAGAACAGCAGATTTGTGACTAATATCTATTTTCTGAGTTAATATTTTTGGCACTTTAAGAATTTCTGACTTAAAATAAATTCTGGGCACTCTTAGACATTTATCCCAGAGAAATGAAAACTTAAGTTTACACAAAAGCCTGTATACAAATGTTTACAGCAGCTTTATTTGTAATAGCCCCAAAACTGGAAACAGCCCAGATGTCCTTCTTCAACAGGTGAATGGTTAAACAAATTGTGATGCATATATACCATGGGATACTACTCAATAACAAAAAGGAACTACTGATACACTTAACAACTTGGATGAATCTCTGGGGTATTATGCTGAGTGAAAAAAGTCAGTCTCAAAAAGTTACATACTTTATGATTCTTTTTTTTTTTTTTTTTTTTGAGGTACGCGTGCCTCTCACTGTTGTGGCCTCTCCCGTTGCGGAGCACAGGCTCCGGACGCACAGGCTCAGCGGCCATGGCTCATGGGCCCAGCCGCTCCGCGGCACGTGGGATCCTCCCGGACCGGGGCACGAACCCGTGTCCCGTGCACTGGCAGGCGGACTCTCAACCACTGCACCACCAGGGAAGCCCTATGATTCTATTTATATAACATTTTTGAAATGACAAAATTTTAGAAATGGAAAACAGATCAGTGGTGGCCAGCAGTTAGGAACGGGGTGGGGTCAAGGAGCAGGCAGGAGCGAGGTGGATGTATTTAAAAAGAGCAATATGAGGGATATTTGTTGTGATGGAATTGCTCAGTACCTTGACTATGGTGGTAGATATGGATACACAAACCTACAGGTGATAAAATGGTATATAACTAAATACACACACAAAGATAAATACAAGTAAAACTGGGGAAGCCTGAATAAGATTCAATATCGATATCCTAGTTGTGATATTGCTTTATAGCCTTGCAAAATGGTACCACGGAGGAAAACTGTTTGAAGGATATAAAGAATATCTCTGTAATATTTCTTACAACTACACATAAATCTACAATCATCTCAATAAAACTTTCAATTAAAAAAGCCTAGTGTTTGAAAGAGAAACAAACAAGTCATCTATGCATAAGAGGCTTTTGTAAATATCAAACATTTTGCCTAGAAATTTAGGGGAGTTTTTCAGGGCTCCTCTTCTTACTGGAATAAAATTTAAATAATAGTTGTAACAGAGATTTTTATTGAATTTCAAGATAATCTATTAAATTATGCAAAATGTTAGGAGTAAGGAAGTTCCTCCAATTTTGGACCTCTTGCTTAGTATCTTAGTATCTCACCCTTTAAACTTAAATTTTACATATGAAATTCCAATTTATTTATTTATTTTTGCGGTACGCGGGCCTCTCACTGTTGTGGCCTCTCCCGTTGTGGAGCACAGGCTCCGGACACGCAGGCCCAGCGGCCATGGCTCACAGGCCCAGCCTTTCCGCGGCATGTGGGATCCTCCCGGACCGGGGCACGAACCCGTGTCGCCTGCACCGGCAGGCGGACTCCCAACCACTGCGCCACCAGGGAAGCCCCCAATTTATTTTTGATAGGCCATTTTCCAACTACCATTGTCTATCATAAATGTGTTCAAACACGACTGAATTAAAGGCAATTTAAACCAACACAGGGTAATCTAGGAAAGTTCCATTTCCCTGACGGCTTATTCATTGGAGTCTCAATAAAAAGAAAACAATTCTTGAAAGACTCTTTATTTTCTCCCAAGTTATAATCTAAAGCAGTCTTTATAATAGTAGTAATTTCAGTGAAAAGGAAATGGCATTCTCTTCTAAACCTCTTCTCTACCCTACTTTTTCTTGAAAAAAGGAGGGAAGGCGAGAGACAGAATGCGGAAACCCGTGTGTGTGTAGGGGACTATGTTATGACCAACTATTTTTTTAAGTCAGTCACAATTATAAAAGCAGAAGAAAAGTTTAGACTACCAAACTCCACTTCTACCACTTATTACCTGTATAATTTTATGTAAGCTACGCAATCTCCCTACAACTAAGTTTTCCCAAACATAAAATAGGGATTCACTAAAGTTTGGCTTAGCCTCAGTATTCAGCCAAAAACAGCTTCAGCTTTGGCCTTGACCTTTAGAAGGCCAAATAAGCAAATGACTGCTTCAATGACATTTCTAGTACCTCTGCATTTATGCTTGATTAATGACCATTATCATTTCTACATCTATATAAATAATGTAAGTAAAAAGCTTACTGCTTTATATGGTGAAATCTTACTGGACAACTGAAGTATAAATGTACACCGTGCTGCAAGAATAAAATGCAGTAATTCTTAGTGATGATTATGAAAGCCAAATTTAGACACAAGCTTAAGAATTTTCAAATAATTAAATAGGGAAACAGATTTACAGTAAATATGAACATCGAGATTGCTTTAACTAGATAAATCTAGGAAGAAAATATTCTTTCTGGGAAAATGAATATTTATAAAAATATATGAGGTAGATTAGCAGAAATTGGGCTATATCATAATTCTAACCTTTGTAGAGGCTGTTCAGTGTACTAGTATATCACTAAGCAAAACTTTTAAGAACTGACTTAATTTCTAGTTAGTGATTTAGGCTATCTAGAGACAGCCTTTCAAGAAAAAGCCCTTTTAGGGAATTCTTCACATCTTGACAAGAAGAATTAAAAGCAGAATGTCAATTTTGCCATTTCAAAATATCACAAGTTCAATCTGGCAAAATATCCATAAAAACATGAAGGGTTATGGCAAAAAAACTGAGGACTCATATTTTCTTTTCAATAATCAGATTTCCAAAGAGCTTTATAAACTGCTTTAAGATAAAAATTACTTAAAGTTTTGAGTCTAGAGACTTAAGCTTGTTGAAAATGACTGCTTATAGATATCTATTTAGAATTTTTAAAATATGCAGTGTAATTACCGGGAGCAAACTAACAGCTGACATGTTAGCTAATTAGTTAATTACCATTCCCGCAACATGATGTCAAACATTTAATATGATGGCTAATTTTAAAAAATTAATTCTTAAAATAAACTTTTATATTTATTCCTGTATCTCAAAAGTTCATCACTGGTGATATTTGACTTTGACCTTGGATGAATACTAATTAAACATCTGGCCACTTGGCTTTTATGAAAATGTAGATTTTGATGTAGCTCAAAAATTAGGACATAATAGGGCTTCCCTGGTGGCACAGTGGTTAAGAATCCGCCTGCCAATGCAGGGGACACGGGTTCGAGCCCTGGTCCAGGAAGATCCCACATGATGCGGAGCAACTAAGCCCGTGCGCCACAACTACTGAGCCTGCACTCTAGAGCCCGTGAGCCACAACTACTGAAGCCCACGCGCCTAGAGACTGTGCTCTGCAACAAGAAAAGCCACCACAATGAGAAGCCTGCGCACCACAACGAAGAGTAGCCCCTGCTCGCCACAACTAGGGAAAGCCCGCGTGCAGCAACGAAGACCCAACGCAGCCAAAAATAATAAATTAAATAAATTTTTTAAAAATTTAAAGGCTCCGTACGCGCAGGCTCAGCAGCCATGGCTCACAGGCCCAGCTGCTCCGCGGCATGTGGGATCTTCCCGGACCGGGGCACAAACCCGTGTCCCCTGCATCGGCAGGCGGACTCTCAACCACTGCGCCACCAGGGAAGCCCTGCAGTATTTTTTTAAATAGAAAAGCTAAGATGTCCTACCCCAGAGCTAAACATTTAAGTCCCATTCAATCTAAGCAAATTCCAAAGAAAAACAGGATTATCTTTAACAATACTAACCAAATATTTTCATGACTGTGAATTTTGATAACTATAAAAGTTAGGGTATTTTGTCTAGAACCTTTTTCTTATGCTAACAATTATTGAGAGTTTACTATGTAAGTGTTCTGTTTTCATACACATTCAATCTTAGTAACTGTGTTAAGCACATTCTATTATATATCGAGCAATTAAATGTACCTAGCATTCACATATTTTGAAAACAGAATGTCAGGACTCTTGAAGATGATTTTCATTGTGTGGGAGCCAAACTTATTTTCCACTGGAGAACAGCTCTCAAATTATAATGGAAGCAAATAGTAAAACTAAATTAAATACAAAATATTTGCTTTAAAGAAAAATTTCAATGCTCTAATGCAGCAGGTATTATTTGAGAAAATAACAGGCTCAGCAGAAGGTCACAGAAATAACTGAATAATACTAGTTAACTAAGTAAACACCTCTGGCTTAAACAGTACACAAATCTTGGTTCAGAAGATAGTTCCATTTCCTTCTATGATCCCTTATTTAACTCAGGTCTTACTTTCTGTCTCTATTTTTCAGCTGAAGATCTCTAGTTACTTGAA